AAAAGGTTAATAATTACAAAAAAAAAAAAAAAAAAAGATAACTGTATAACCTGATACAGTGAAGTCAGGAGTGGGAGCTTGTGCTTGCCATTGGCAGTGAGGCCCCAAACCCAGCTTCCAAGTCACATGAGCCCCCTGAAGCTTCCCCAGTGCAGAGAGGCATTGCTAATGTGCCTTTCTTCTGGCTGAGCTGTCCCCTGGGGTTTGGAGGCCCTGTTTTGTGACTTTGGCTTCAGTTGTGTGGAAGTACTGCTGGGCAGCCTGTTCTCCAGCCCTGCGTGTTCAGCCCAACATCTGCGCTGTGATGATCAAGTTCTGCCACGCTGCTGTCAGGAGCCTGAACCCTTGGTGTTCCCAAACCTGAGGGCTCTTCATGCAGCAAAAATGGACTTTACATGCTCTTGAACAGGACAGAATTGAGGAAGTTGTAGTTTCTCCCCTGTCTAGGAATTACTGCATGGTATCCCATGGGAGACTGTTCTCATGGACATAGGAAAGGAACGTTGCTGCCAACACTCTAAGAACACCTCTCTGAGAGCATAAGAGTTCTCCATCCCTCAGCATACAAAATCTAACAGAGGAGGCAGGAAACCAGCGTGGCTGTGCACAGAACTGCTTGTCAGGCTGTGGGAAAAGAAGGAAATGTATAAGCAGGGGAAGCAGGGATAGTGGCCTGGAAAGAATGCAGGGATGCCATCTGAACGTGCAAAGATGGGATTAGTAATGCCAAGGCAGAGGTAGAACTGTGCTTGATGAGGAATGTGAAAAATAACATGAAGGGGTTCTAGAGAAACAATGTTCAGATTAGACAGACAAAAGAGTGTACTTTGTCTGGTAAATGAGAAGGGAGGACTAGCTTCGACAGACTCTTAGAAAGCTGAAGTACTCAGCAAGTTCTTAGCCTCAATATTCATTGGCAGTCAGGCTTCTAATGTCTCTTTTGTGTCCCTGAACTTTTAGGTGGGGTCTGGGGTACAAAATCCCTCCCACTGAAAGAACAAAGCAAACCAGATACGGCCTCATAAGGCTGAATTTGTACAGATCTATAGGGCCGGATAGCATGCATATCAGGGTCCTGGTGGAATGGGTTGATGTGGCCACCAAGCCCATCTCCATCATATTTGAAAAGTCATGGCTGTGAGGCAAAGTCCCTTGTGACTGGAAAAAGGGAAACATCCCTCCCATTTTTAAGAAAGGAAGAAAAGAAGATCTGGGGAACTATGGACTGATGAGCCTCATGTCTGTGCCTGGGAAGATCACAGAGTGGATCGTCATGGACACTAGCTTGAGGCACTTGAGAGACGTGGAGGTGATCTGAGATGGCCAACACAGCTTTTTATCTTCATCAATGACATCAACTATGGGGTTGAGTGCACTGTCAGCAAGTTTACCTATGACATCAACCTGTGGGGTTGACACACCAGAGGGATGGGATGCCATTCAGAGGGACCTAGACAGGCTTGAGCAGAGAGCCAACATGAACTTCATGAGGTTCAACAAATCCAAGTGAAAGGTCTTGCACCTGAGTCAAGACAGCCCACTTTGCCAGTACAAACTGGGAAATGAAAGGAGTGAGAGCAGCTCTGCTGAAAAAATAACTGGGGGGACTGGTAGATGGCAAACTGGAAATGAGCCAGCAATGTGTCCTCACAGCCCAGAAAGCCAACTGTATCCTGGGCTGCATCAAAAGAAGCGTGGACAGCAGGTCGAGGGAGGTGATCCTGCCCCTCGACTCTGTGCTGGTGAGACCTCAGCTGGGGGACTGTGTCCAGATGTGGAGTCCTCAGTACCAAAGGGGCATGGATCTACTGGATTGTGTCCAGAGAAGGACCACAAAAATGATCCATGGAATTGAACACCTTTCCTACAAGGACAGGCTGAGAGAGCTGGAGGTGTTCAACCTGAAGAAGAGAAGGCTGTGAGGTGACCTGATAGCGGCCTTCCGGTATCTAAAGGGGAGCTACAGGAAAGAAGGGACAGACCCTCTAGCAGAGTTTGTGGCAATAGAGAAAGGGGAAATGGCTTCAAGCTCAGGGAGGGTAGATTTAGGTTAGGTGTAAGGAAAATATCTTTTACAGTTAGGGGTGAGGCACTGGAACATTTTACCTGGTGGTTTGGTTGATGCCCTGTCCCTGGAGACTTTCAAGGCAAGGTTGGATCAGGCCCTGGGCAACCTGATCTAGCTGTGGTGTCCCTGTTCATTGCAGGGGAGTTGGACTAGATGGCCCTAAGAAGCCCCTTCCAACTCTTAGGATTCTATGATTCATTAAGGGCACGTTGTGTCTGACCAATCTGGTGGTCTTCTATGATAAAGTGATGGCAGTGGTTAATAAAGGAAGGGCAATTGATGTAATCTACCTGGGCTTCTGCAGGGCCTTTGATATGGTCCCATACCACATCATCATTTCTAAATTGGAGAGATATAGACTTGGAGGCTGGACTATTTGGTGAAAAAAGAATTTGTTGGATGGTGACAGCCAGAGGGTTGTGGTCAGTGGCTCTATGTCTAGATGGAAACTGGTCATGAGTCATGTCCCTAAGGGGTCAGTCTTGGGATTGGTGCTTTTCAACATCAATGGCCTAGATTGTAAGATCAAGTGCACCCTCAGCAAATTGACTGATGAGACTAAGCTGAGTGGTGCAGTTGATACAACAGAAAGAAGGGACACCAGCCAGAGGGACCTGGACGGACTTGAAAAGAGGGCCCATGAGAACCTAAGTGCAATAGTCAAGTATAAGATGTTGCAGTGGGGTCAGGGTAATCCCAGATATGTGTACAGACTGGGAGAAGAGGCCATTGAGAGGAGCCCTGCTGAGAAGGACACAAGGGTCTTGAGCCAGTAGTGTGTGCTTGCAGCCCAGAAGGCCAACAGTACCCTGGGCTGCATCAAAAGAGGGTGGCCAGCAGGGCAATGGAGGTGATTGTCTCCCTCTACTCAGCTCTTGTGAGGACCCATCTGGAGTACTGCATCCAAGCATGGAGTCTTTAGTAAAGGAGGGATGCAGAGCTGCTGGATCTCATATGAAGAAAGGGAGAGGGTGCTGGGCTTGTTTAGCTTGGAGAAGAGAAGGCTCTGGAGAAACCTCACTGCAGTTTTCTAGTAGATGAAGGGTGCTTATACTAGGAGGGAGACTGACTTTTTACACATCCTGATAGTGATAGGACAAAGGGAAAAGAGCTGTGACAGTGGCTTCTGTGCTGTAGAAGTACAGCTGGGCAACCTATTCCCCAGCCCTATCAATTCAGCCAAACATCAGTGTGTTCATGGCCAATTAATTTCTTTCTATTCCTACTAGGTAGGTTTAATCAAACTTTTTACTTCTGTTGAGCTCATGATTGAGATTTATCTTAGCTCATACAGAGAAGCTTTGCCTCTACAGATGATGTTTTCTTAGAAGCCACTGAGAACTGAGACATTATGCCCCTCTTGTTTCTGCTGAATTATTACAGACAGGGATCAGTTACATAGAATTGAAAGCCTGCTCCCCCTCCTTTGTACAAACATGTCAGCGATCCAGTTCATGCTGTTGATTCTCACACACTACCTGTCCAGCTGGTTCAGCCCAACATCTACAGGTTGATGATCAAGTTCTGCCGTGCTGCTGTTGGGTGCCTGAGCCCTTGGTGTTCCCAAACCTCAGGGCACTTAGGCAGCAAAAATGGACTTTGCATGCACTTTAAACTGCTTTTACTGTCCACAGAAAGTCTTTGGACCTGACTGCATAGGTAATGCCACATAAAGAAATCCTTGATGTTTGAGTTTTAATTGCTGTGCAAGCTGAGTTAAGTAGACGCATATATGTTTGGGCAGCTCCTTCTGATAGGTCTAATCGCTCAGTAAACCGGTCTTCAAATCATTAACCCTGTTGGGCTGCTCAGGGACATGTTCAGCTGATATACACTGTTTTCTCTGTCCCCTTATTTCAGCCTTTGTCTACCTTTGTGTACTTAGGACTACTGGAAGTGGCTATCATCTCTTTAAAAAGATAAGTTGGCGTAGGTCATGTTTTCCAAGATAGAAGTGCCTCTGTCCACGCTTCTAGGTTGCTGAAAGCAGCAAGATTCTGTATTTGTTTTGGCAGCTGATAGGATGCACTGGAATGGTACTGAGCTGTACTAGTGGCAGTTTAGGCTAGACATTAGCTGAATTTTTTCCATTTTACTATGCAATCAGATGTAGGAACAGGTTTGTAGTAAGGTGGTTGATTAGAAATAGCTTCTGTTCCTGTTTCCAGATTACAAATGCACAAAAAGCTGTAAGATTCTTAGTTTGATCTTTTGCAGACTGTCGCTTGTCACTTGTTTCTTCCTAATTGCTTGGTATTCACAGTTAATGATCAGAAAGCAAACCTTTCATAACACCTGTTCCAGGAGCACAGGCTGTAATATCATTTTTGGATATTAAGAGAAATAGGCATTACAATGCAGAAACTTGACAGCAGTAATAAAGAATAAAAGATGAGAAGAAAAATGATTATTTCCATTCTAAGTGCTTTGCTTGAAGTCTGGATGCTGAGCATGATCCTTTTAAGCGAAGGCGGTGGTGACGCTTTTCAGCAGTGTCTGATTCGTATCAGTTGTACTGGAGCAGAATGAAGTTTGTACTGCTGCTAAGCCATCAAGAATCCTACAATAGTAGGACGCTGCGAATACTGCAATATAAAATGACAAATTAGTGACTAGAGAAAGGGCCCTGTGCCAACATCAACAAAATTTTGCCTTTTTCTCTGAAAAACTAAGGCTATCACTGTCAGCCAGGGTAGTCCTCCCCCCCAGCCTTAGCTGTACTAGAACAATCAAGTAGATATAAAAAGCCTGCTGCAGATGCAGAGAAGAGAGCAAAGTCCAGCAAGCTAAATGCACTCAGTGTCAAATGAGAAAAAAGAAGGGAGAGCAGAGCTGAAAGCCGCCATAGTGGGACCTTCAGCACTGGAATGGAAAGCATTTGCTTTCCTTTAGATTGGAGTTCAAAAAATAGACCGTCAGCGTAGAGCCACCTGCCACAATAAATCTAAAAAAGCTACCACTATGAGCATTCCCATTCACTTTTTGAGGCTATTTGTTTCTCTTTTGCTGTTTAGAAATGGCATGCAAGAAAATAATTAGCTCTACTCTGACACTTTTCTCAAGCAGGTTATGTTGATTTCTGGCATAGATGATGGGGCCTGGAAATTTTAGGTCAGGTAAGTCTTGGCTCTCACCTGATGGAGTGTAGTGGGCCTATCTAATGTACAGGGACAGTGTATGCTGAGCAGAGGCAGTCGGGAAAGGTGGTAATTCACTTTCTTGCAAGGGTTTAAAAGCTAGTCCCAACTTTGTAATGACTTTGGCTAAATAACCATAGGTACACTGTAGTGTGGTTTTTGCATACTCTATATGATATACTGTCAACACTCAAGCATTTTACCCAGTAAACACTGAAATGTTTCACTTCATAAGTGATTGGGTTAATGTCTCTGTCTTCAGATTGACTGTCAGTACTTTAGCAAAGCAATGGTATCCCCATCCTCACCACTTCCTCTGCTTGTTACACTAAAAACTAAAATCAGTGCAATTAAGGACAGTTAAAAAAAAAAAAAAATGGAGTTAAGTGCTGAATAGTTGGAACCTGAGAACAAATCTCAAAGAAAGCATGAGGGGCAAAAATTTTCTGCTACATGCTTTTTGTAATTAGAATGAGTAATGCCTAAAATGCTAGCAAGTGGCAATGAAAAGGAAGTACGAATGCAGTTAACTAGTCTGTAAGTAACAGCTAGAACCTTCAAGAAGGGTAGCCTGAACACATGTTAAAATATATACATGTATTTCCCACTTACGCCAATGAGAATTTTCTATTTTTGCCATGGAGAATCTCATCAAACGTCTCTGGCAAACAATATTCCTGATTTCAGTATCCTATAAAAACACCGTCTGAGCTGAACCCTCAAAATATTTGAAGAGTGTATGATAGCCAAATTGTAAGTCAGCAAGTATTAGTTCTATATATACACAAACTAGTTTCCATTTTGAAAAACTCCGAAGTGACTACCCAGTGATTTTAGGAGTAATTGCACTGGGACTCTGTTCCCTAATTCACAGTATGAATGGTAAGTCGTTCTTCCAGTAAGCATAGTTTATTCCTACATTCTTATTCCTCATCCCACTTCCTGAGATGTGATAGCTTCCTATGCTCTCTCTAGGTTGATGTTTTCAGTTTCCTTGCGTGCTCTTTTCCAATGGGTGCTGACCTGCTGTTCTTTGTGAGCTTTTCTCCCTCTGCCACAAGACTCTTTGCTCAAACTAGACAGGAAGTAGAGTCTAAAAATTCCGCTGGAAAGAAATAAAGCACCCAATGCATTTCAAAATCTAAAACTTTGCTACCTTTTGTTACTACAGCAGCTGCTCATGGACACATACTATTCTGGCCAACAGTAATGGGCACTATGGATTGCTTTCACCATTCTCTGTCACAAAGTCAGTCGTGTTTTGTCTCACTGTGCAGTTCTTAAAGTTGATTATAAACAACTTTTACAATTAAGCAGTGTTTACCTCTTCCCTGTCCTTAGCAGATCAAATCCCTCATTAATTTTAGTTAAAGGAAGGGTGTGGGTTATTAATGGATCCAAAACAAACTTTTTCTTCATGTAATCAGCAACCAGTTTAGGCACTGCATCTTTACTCTTCCAACCTGAAAGAAAACCACAGACAATGGATAATGAACCATTAAATGCTAGTCAAAATAGATAAAACTTACAAGGGTTTAAATTCTTAGATAAACTTTCTACAGCAGAATAGCATGATGAAATACTGCAGTATAACTTTACCTTTGTAATACAGAGTGCCAAGAGGAAGTGCTGTACTAAATGCAGCTAGTCTACAGTGGAGTGTGTATGACCAACTAAGCAAGTAAGTACTGTACTGGTACAAGTCTAAGTTTCTGACATTTGAATCTTAAAAGATAAAGACACCCCCGCCTTCCCCCCCTGTATGGGAACTGCTGAATCATGGCCTGAACCTCTGATTGACCACCTGAGGCAAGCAATGAGCCAGCCACAGGAGTACAGGTGAAGTAATACACCTGTGCTACTGGAAGGGGTGGAGCCTGGCTTCACCTCTCCTAAATCCCATTTAAGTGCTGACTGCCACTGAGGAGGGATCTCTTCCTGGAGATCACTCCTTGTGGAGAATATTGTGAGCCTACGACATCAGTAAGCATTTTCCATTTATTATCTTCCTGTTGCAATAATCTTACTTAGCCTAACTTTCCTGTATATTTCTTAATTATAACATCTGTATATTCATTGATTATACATATATAACAATATATATTTTTTCATCCTGTTTATTGATGCTTCATTCCCTAAATCACACACAAAAAAATCTACAGTGCTGACATTTCTATTGCTGTCTAGAAACTTAATAGGAACGAAATAGGGCAGCAGGAGGGATTGTCTATTTGTTCTTGGCTTTATCTGGCACTGCTTCTATCTCTAATAACAGGATCTTCTCCCAGAATAACCTAGTTTGTCTTTTGCTCTTTCAGTCAGGTGTCTATTGAATGTATCAGAGGAACGGGCTGCAAAAGGGAAAACCCACTGCTGGAAATAAGCTTCCTCTGTTTTTTAGTTCTTCTAGTTTTGTGTTCAGTGAGTTAGGGTTTGCTGAGTGTGAGAATCCTCCAGAAAAGCTCAGAAAAGAGAGCAATTGCGAGTGATGGCAGCTTGCTGGGGCTTAACCTGGCAAGCAGGTTGGTCTGAACTGAATGTTCTTTACAGTTCCCAACTCTCTTTGATCCCTGTTCTCCGTTCTTTTTTCTCTCTTCATCTGTCTTTTCTGCTCTCATCTTTCTTGCCCTGTCTTTCTTAATACCTCTCTCTTTTGCTCTTTCCTGTCTTTCATTTTCTTTTTTCCTCCACTTTTCCCACTTTTCCTTTTTCTCTCCCTTTCTCCTTCTTTTCTTCACTCTTCCTATCTTTTTTCCCTCCTTTTATGCTCCTTTTCTCCCTTTGTCCTTAACCCACATTTTTCTCCTTCTCACTCCTTTTTTCTTATCCATTTTATCTACTCCTCCTCCTATGTACATCTGTTCTATCTGTTCTTCTATGTCCATCTGTTTCCCATCCTTCTGGGCCCTCTCCTCTCTGCTTTTTTTGTTTTTCCTTCACTCTCCTCTTTTTTTCTTCTTAATGTTGACATTTTTGTGCCTCTCATTTCCCTCTTCCTCTGTTTTTCTCTCTCCTCCCCTCTTCAGTAACTATTTGATAACAGTTCCTTCATGAATTCTTTGTGCTACTTTGTTAGCAAATTAGTTATCAGTAGTATGTCCAGCTATCACTAATCTACTCCCTTTGATTCAAGTTAATAGACAAGTTTCACAAGCCAGCCAAATCACATCTTTCCTCACCTCCAAAGACAGACCCTTTCCATGTGCGACCACTGAAGAGAAGCATGGGGTCAAAACTAATCTTTTGTGCTGCAGGGGGCACTCCCACAATCACGCTGACTCCGTAGTTGTAGTGGCAAGAGGCCAAGGCCTCAGTCTGCATTTAAAACAGAGGGACACAGCGGTGTCATGCAAGTCTTGCCTTCAGGGCACAAAAACTTGATTTCTTCTCTCAGGGATCAGCTTGCATTTCCAAATCAATCAGTTTCTGTAGCTAGCACCGTTTTATCTGCTCTTATATTTTAGTTTGTTTTATTTTACAATTTTGTCTTATTAATAAGACACTTGGATAGACAATGTTGAGTTTCATTACATATGTGAAAACGAGTCACCCTGCTTAGATTACTTTCCTATTGGAATTTACATTTAGGATTCTTTTCTTAAGTTTTTGGGTGTGCTACTATCTCTGCATCTCGCTGGCTGATAGCCAGGCTTCACAGGTTTCAAGTTAGCTTAATACTTTACCAGCAGCTCTTCACTCCTCACTACTGGTGCTTAGTGGGTTAGGGAAGAAACAGCTAATGAGTTAATGCCTCTTTTGACCACATCTTTTGTTTGCATACCATGGTTTCAATACGGCCGATGACCTCAAAGGAGTAGTCCACACCCTGGCCAGTCATTTCCGTCAGCACTTCATGAATGGGCTTCTTGAAGTCTTTAGGGTTGATGCACTCGGTGGCTCCCAGCTCTTTGGCCTTGGCAAACTTGTCCTTGTTGATATCGATGGCAATGATGCGGGACGCTCCAGCTGCCTTGCAGCCCATGACAACAGAGAGGCCGACTCCTCCGAGGCCAAAGACAGCACAGGTGGAGCCTGCTTCTACCTACATTAACATGGCATCCTGTTACAGTCCATGTAAAGTACATTGCACTTTCTTACTATCAATATGCTTTCACCTAATCTTCTTGTAGATTAGATCACCTGTTGAGAAGACATTTGCTTATGCATATGTACCAGTGCAGTAGTCAGCTACATTGATATAATCCTACATGCAACTAAGATAAATTATCCCTAGAATACATTTCTAAGACTAGATCTTCGTTACCGCATTCAGCTTCAAGTTTACAGACAGATTTTTATGCTGCTCTATATTTCAGTGGCATTAAGATCTGTAGTCTCACTCCCCTGAAAAATAGTGAAAAGTCACAGCTGTAAAAAGCCACATCCAAAGAATTTGTAGCAGTACATGAATTTACTGTGTAAAGTCTCAGAATATAGGAAGCCTGAAGTTACAATAAAATATGCTGTCTCTGTCATAACATTTTTTGAGTGAGAAAGCTAGGGATCTGAAAGAAAACTTAGCAAGCTGCCGAAAGGTTTTTTATTAGATTTTCTATTGAAGACTTCTAAATACCTTAGAGGAACTGAGGAAGGCAAAGAACTAAGATCTTCTTTCCATGCTGAACACAGCAAAAAGAACATGTGCCTGCTGGCTGCCATGCTGGCACCTTGCTTACAGGCCACACAATTCTGAACAGAGCAGAAACACCTACAGTGCTCACCTTGGCAGTCTGCAGAACAGCTCCATAACCAGTTGAGAATCCACAGCCAATCAGACAAACTTTTTCCAGAGGAGCTGCAGAATCAATTTTGGCCACAGCAGTTTCATGTACTACCGTGTATTCAGTGAATGTACTTGTACCAATAAAATGATGAATTGCTTTCCCTTTACAGGTAAACCTCGTGGTGCCATCAGCCATTAATCCAGTAGGTGAAGAAGAAATACTGTTTGAAAAATAACCAGACATAATGGCAAATGAGATGTCATATGTGGTCAGTTTTGTGTAAGTTAAAATCAAATAGGGGTTGCAAGTAACCTAGGAAACTCACTCATTTTTACTGCACAGATTGCCCTTGGTGCTTAAGCAAGATCTGCACTCCCCACACTGTGGAACAAAGAGTGGAATAACTGCGTCTCCTAGAAAGAAAACAGTAATGATTAAACAAACAGGCACACAAGAAGCATTCAGGTAAAAATATAAAACAAGTACTCTTAACTCTTAAAGTGTGCAGTAGGAGTGCAGTGCTGGACTTATTTCCTTCCACTGCCTCTCTCTGATAGTGGACATCATTAATGCACTTCTGACAACTGCTTTCAACATACAAAATCCCAGGTGTCTTTCACAGAAGTGAAACTGAGCTATGCCTTAAATTTTCAAAGCTACTGCCATTCACAAAGTATTCAACAGTTTTTCGCATCTGTTACTTACTAATACACAGGTGAGGAAACTGAGATTAAAACTGACATCTAGGACAGGAGGTTGGCATGTTAAGATAACAGAACTGTAAACTGTTTGTAGAAATGGGAAATAAGTTAAGCATTAATTTGCTAGCCCTCTTGAGTTGTCGTCTTATTTAAAGTAATTATCAGAGGAGCAGCAATGCACTCAAGGTAAGACATCACTAATTCTTTAGTACAATAATGTCAATTAAAGGAACCTGTGTTCTCAGTGCAATCTTTTACCATTTCCCACAGCAACAAAGTATGATAAATCCCTAAATTGATAATCTCTGCTGCAGGTCAATTTATGATTTGGCAGTTCTGAAATGTGGCCAATACTTCATGTGTTCAAAGTCAGTTTCTGATTTCCCCTAAAAAGTGGAAAGTGACCTACAGAACACAAAATGCACATAAATGCACAACGTACAGGCTTATAATCATTCTGCTAAAATCATTCTGCTTTGCAGGTCTTGGAGCTTTCCCCCCAACCCCCCCCTCAGAACTCAGAGGTAGGTGGGGGTGGTGTGTGTATGCATGAGCCCATGCTGCTGTTTCAGCTCACCTGGAAACATACACAACAGAGAGATGCATCAAGTTCTGGAACCAGAACTTATGAGAAAAAGCAGCTAGGGCTATAATTGACATTTGAAATATACATTTTTGTTGAAGCAGAGATCTCTAATACAACTTATTATATATACTGACCTGCTTTGAACAGACTTAATACTTGCGACCAGTAAAAACAAAGACGCTTGAAGTATAGAGGTGTTAAAAGTGAATTACATAGGTAGTCCTCTGCAATACAAGTATTCACACATAATAGGCTTCAACTTAAACAGGAGCCTGAAAACTCAGCACAGATTTTGTGTTGAGTGCTGTTTCATACCTGGCTTTAATGAAGTTACTTTCTCCCCAACGCTTTCTACAACACCAGCTGCCTCGTGCCCAAGGATGATTGGAAAAGGCATAGTCAGTACACCAGTCACCACATGGTCATCAGAGCGACAGATCCCTGTGGCTACAATCTGAGTTAGAAGAAAGGTGAGACTGCTTCAGCATTTCACTGTCATGTCATAAATGTAAGTTATGTCATGTATTTGGAGCAGTCCCTTGCTTCTCTCCAAAATTACATATGTACACAATAAAACTAAAGGTAAAAACACTTAACTGCTCAACTCCTAATCTTCACTGTTTGCATGTATCTAATTTACAAAGCAAGACTCCTCTATGAATGCTTGCTGTGCCCCCCCATTGGGAGTCCCACTGGTTGCTGGGCAGAACAATGGGTGAAGAACAGAATAGAATCAATTCTTCTTATTTTTATATTTACACATAGATATAAAACACTTATCTTAATACTATATAAATAGAAAAGTATTCAATTAAATAACATTTCTATTTAAATATTTATCTTGTAATTTAAAATCATAATTTTAAGATGTTAAAGTTTTTATTATGTGGTAGTACTATATTACTTGTAATTACATATGATCTATGATCATTTATTATATTTTTATACATGTATATGTTACATACTAAAGAACCATAAAATTTCAGCCATACATAATATTCTACAGCACATTTTGTCTTTTCTTGCATTCACCAACTGTATTTGTTTTGAAAGATTTAAATATGCCTTAACAATTTTTATTCTGACAAGTGCAGTTGTTGACCCATGTAGGGGTTCTCCTTAAAACTGCTCTAAAGCAATAGCATCTGAAGTGTAACAGATACTCAACACCCAGATCAAGAAGGAAGCATCCAGTGCTATTTCCTAGCACGTATCCAAAAGCAAGGCAGAAAGTAGATCAAAGCAAACAAAAAAACCCTCTTAAAAAGAGACGTGTGATTAGATTTGACTTGCAGCTTATTGCACAGGAGCTCACTGAATAGCAACTGTTTACCTACTGAATATTTTCTAAGTCTACATCCTACCAATCTACAGAAATAACTGGCATAGCAACATTAAATGCAATTTGTAACGCATCTTAAAAAAAAAAAATTAAATACCTTAATACGAACTTCATGTGCTTTTGGTGGGGCAACTTCCACTTCCTCAAGAGAAAATGGTTTATTTGCTTCCCACAATACTGCTGCCTTGCATTTAATAACCTGCAAAAAGAGCAAGGGAAAAGGGAGAGGCTCTTGCAATGAGAAGGTCAACACAATAAGATTCTTAACAATGCAGAATTCCTGTTCGTATCTGGGGAAGAGGGAAAACTAGGAAAAAAAATTTAAAAACAACACCAAAGTCAGTATCCATAAGTCAGGGTTGTTTTTTTTTGCCACCAAAATCATTCTGACTTTCTTCATATCTCTGTCCCCATTTCTTGCTCCTGTTCTTTTTTGGTGGGGTCTTCTCATTGCAGAACTTTACACAGCTAAAGGCCATGGAATAAGATTTTTCCACGTCTCCTTTAAGGGGAACAGTCACTCCATTAAGTAAGATGTATTAACTGCAAGTGTTCAGGTGCTATTATCTTAAGAGCAAAACGGAAGAGAATTAAGTCTATGACACCAGAAGTTCAGCACATGCCTAAGTATCCTGTGTGACTTGGGACCCTGCCATGCAGTGTGACGTCACTGTGTTGTACCCTTCTGGGAGACAGCAATAAAAAACTTTTGTATGAAAAGTTAGCTAAGTAAAAATAGGCATGTCTAGCAAGAAAATGTCAATTGGTAATGAAGAAAGCAAGTACTAGGAAACAACAGGCCTGCAATGTAAAATAGTGCACTTTCAGTAGCCAGATGTAAAGTGAGAAAGAGCTTTGAAAAAGGGATGTGAGAGGTTTGCACTAAATCTAATGCTTCCCGTGAAAAAAATTTACAAGTGAAGCAAGATCACATTTTAAAAGGCAACATTTTCAAGGAAACTTCCCTGAAAAGAGAAAAAGGACTTTACTGCACATCACTCACTAATGATTTCACAATTTGCAAACACAAAGCCAAGGTTTGTAAGAGCAAAAATAGCCAATAACTGTGGATCACAAGAGCAAATGAATCTCTCATACAATTAGACACTGGTTAACTAAGCTATGTTCTTATGGCTGACAGTGAGCTTTTAACAGCTGTAACAGAATCCCCCAGATGAGCCAACAGCACACTTGATCTACTATGGCAAGCACTGACTGGAGTCACAGCATTTTTTTTTCTACTGATGTTTTCTACCAACCTTACAAGTTGCAGCAGCAGAAGAAAAGCAAGCTGTAGAAACATACCCTTTTAGAGAGGAGGAAGATTATGTTGTACAGTCACATAAACTTCAAGGTAACTTGCATACTGCCTCAAAGATAAATACACTGAAAACAAAGTGTGGTAACTCCACCACAACGCCCTGTCACACTCGGGCAAAGGCTGAACAGAGAACTGAACTTGGTGAATTTACCTCTGCTTAATGTTCTCAACACATGCACATTTGCACCCTAAAACTTAACGCAAAGTTTTCTAAAGATGACAAACTGTTAATAAACTTATATGAAATGTAAAAAATCTAGTAAAAGTTTAAATCAGCCTGAGATCTCAGAAGGGAAAGTGATATAGTTGATAAATACATTTATTTGTCCAAATACTTACTATATTATATTATATATTAATACAGTCAATCAGAGCTTGAAATTAGCTTTATTCTTACTCTGATGTTATTAGCTTACATTGCCTCAGTATAAATAAATAAATTGAAATTATTGCCTTCAAGAGCCTTGCAGCCATTTCCTAGGAGAGTAAGGTGGTCTGCAAGGAAAAGCAGCTCTACTGCACCAGCTGTCTCCTAAACTCTCATTTATACCACCCCATCAGTATTTATGGTGTCCTTGCAAAGAAACTGCATTTAAAATGCATTACTCAGTTGCAGCAAAGAAACTTTTCCTAAAAAAAAACCTCCACTTACTTTGCCCACTGTGCTCATGTTGGCTGGCAGGTCTGTTTTGAATCTTGCTCCCACGGGTTTCTTGTGCCGGTCAAGCTGCTGATACCACAGTCCTGTCCAATGCCCTAGAAGCTGATCTTACAAAGTGCTTCTGCAAGCGCTTAGCTCCAGCATTTAGCCAAGCAGCTGAGCTCAGAGTCCCACCCCTTACACATCTAAAGTGCCAGCAAGAAAGTGAGCCACCCATCTGCTGAGGTCTTTACAGCTTACTGTTTTCCCAGACCCTTTGTCACACTCATCCCACCCTTTTCATAGCCCATTGATGGCTGGCCTCAATGCCACGGAAAGAAGGCTCAAGCCCTGGCTGGAAGCTCGCCCCTCTTCCCTCCTCTCTGGGAAGCTGCCTTCCAAACCTACAGCTCTCAGGGGCACTGTGGGAGCAAAAGAGAAGGGACGAGCAGTTCCCGAACTCAAAATGGCAGGGCCGTGGGAACACAAAGTCTTTGCTGAATTATATTAACACTCTTTAGAGCTCAGCTGATGTATCAAAACACATTATTTGCAAGCTGCTTAAGAAACATACGCTGTCAATCTGTGGCTCTATCTGCTCCTCTGACTCGTTAAGTTTTACAATCTGGCTACTCATTGATCTGTTGGAATGGCTTTCAGTGAACAGTGACCAAAGAGTACATGCTTAGTCATGCTGACTGGAAAACAAAAGAAGAGAGAGGAGAGGTGTTTCTTAACACATGCAACAGCCTGCAAGTGATTGCCTGATCTGTTGGATCCAACAATATCAGCAAGCCCAGGCCCCACCAGTCCTCACACACCCACACACTCACCCTCTCTGGGTACAGTGCCCTGGTGTGAGGGGTTGTATTGCCCACAGATCATGAGCAGGGATCACAAGTGAAGGTGCAGGTGCGGTAGGGTGTGTGAAGGTCATTGTGCTCCTTTGCAGACTCAGTGGACCAGATTAAGTTCCAGACTCCTGTAATCTTGGGTGAATCTTCAGAGACAGCAGGAAGTTCCAGCAGCCTCAGAGGCGTACCTCCAGCCTGCTAGGGATGCAAGCCCTGACTGGTCCAGGCTAGAGGAGCAGAGATCATGAATCCCTACTAAAGTATTTAAAAGACCCATGGAGCAAAAAGAAAGGGGTGACTTAAGGCTTCCTGTGGAAAGAGGCTAACAGAGTCCAGAGGTAGTGACCTGACTCACCTCTGGGGCACAGCAGACATCAGGGAATTGATCCATAGTCTACTCTCCTCTTCTGAAACTAATCTCCTCCTTCTACCTCCAAGACCTTTATAGCATGATACAGCAGTGGTCATGATTCATCTCGATTGATCTTGAAAATACAGAGCTACAGGCAACACAGAAATTTCACTTGCTTTCAGTAAAGATCATAGGCAATCTAATTGCATAAATACATTGATTTATGATAATTCTACTGATCAGCTCTTTCTGCCTGTAGTATAGCAGATACTACATGATATGCTGAGATGCTTTGTGAACTGTATGATCTTCATGGCATGTCTAAGGCAGAAGACTCACTGATAAGCCCCCCATTGGTGAAGCTCACAGATGGACACTAACTGGGCCATTATGTCAATGAAAGTAACAAATGCTTTCTCCTGTATACTGCTTACAGTAATACACTGACAACAACTCACTACCATGATGTCAAGATTATGCAGCTAGTCTTCATGTCTGAATTTTCTGTTATACCAAACAGGCCAGTTTAGCTTGTGCTCTCTCATTAAGCTGCTTGAATGTGGGCTTCTAACCACCTCAGTCTGAGCCCCTTTCCCCACCAGTCAGAGACCTCAAGCTGCAACTTTGACAGATTGGCTGGAAGAGACCACATATACAGATGAGCAGCCTCAAAAGACTAAAAGGACTCATTTCTCACCCAGCAAGAAGAGAATCTGCTCTCCAAGTCGCTATACATTCCACACAACCATACATCTCTAAGAGTGGAGTGACAGCTAAAAAGTTGAAAGTAGACAGTTGAGAACCTCTAGGAAAATGTAAGTGATACCACTCATCTCAGATGTTGCCTTGTTCTGTCAAGTTTGGAATTTGTGAGGTGTCGTGCTATTAAAAAATTGGTAGCATAACACAAAATGTCAACACAAAAATGTACAAAGAAGCTTCTGAATTCTGCCTTCAAGGTAGAGTATGTTCTGTGTGCTCGGTCTGGAAATACACCCAAAACACCATGGTATTCATTCCTGTCATGTGCAGACTTCTTTCACAATGCCTAAGGAGGCAAGACCCGGTGACTAGTACTTCCTAGAAGAACCTCAAAAAAAAAAAAACAAATCACAGAATGGCCAGGGTTGGAAGGGACATCAAGGATCATGAAGCTCCAACCCCCTCACCACATGCAGGGCCACCAACCTCCACATTTAATACTAGACCAAGCTGACCAGAGCCCCATCCAACCTGGCATTGAACACTTCCAGGGATGGGGCATCCACAACCTCTCTAGGCAGCCCATTCCAGCACCTCACCACTCTCATAGTAAAGAACTTGAATTTCTAGTCCAGTCTATTCCTTGAGAGTTATATTTTTCCTTTCTTTCCTTCTTCCAAAGTTCCCATCTATTTTTCCTTGTCAGTTTATCCACTGATCCCTTTGTTTCCTTTCCTTTCTCTTAAAACTCTCCTCATCTTTACCTTGTGGCACATTGACTCCTTGGCAAGGTTTTTCAGGGAATGGAATGGAAGCTGTGATCTACCTCCCTTCACCAGACTGAGTGCATCCAGTCCGCAGGTGTAGGCAGAAATGGTTTTTAGGAAGAAGGTGGTAAGAAAAAGGACCGCACATGGAGCCAGTGAAAGGGCTGACATGCATAAGCATGCTGCACAAATTAGTTTATCTGTGTTGTTCTGTCAGATTGCTCAAGATGCTGGGAGCAGGGCATAGGCTCAAAGTCCTGGCATGCAGGGAAGCTGCAGTGCCTCCTCTTTTTTGCTTGCTCTCACAGGCCCTCAGGCTCAACATTCTGTGCTTTGATATTTGACACAAAACATGCAACTGGCTCCAGACTCTATCCTGTCCCATTTTAGGGCAGTTCACTATGAAAGTATTTCTTTAAGCTTATCTATCAAGTCTTTTCCTTCTTATGCAATTAAAACATGGTAAGTAATCACTTTATCAGCCTTTTATCTAATTCTGCCCATCTGAACATGTGGCACTGATACTGCCTCTCCATTGCTTCTCTCTCCAACCTAATAAGGCTCAGCAGATCCTAGTAAAGTGTAGAAAGAGCTAAAGGGAAAGAAAAAACAACCATGCAAAAACTATGCCAGATTTGCTAGTGGCTGTTGAGCTTGTAGACACAAGAATTCAGGAGCAGCCTCTTTTCTACATGGGGCTTACAACAAAGCAAATGATAAAAGACTCTTTGGGGCTTTAGGATCAAGAACTAGCACCTGCATGGGCTGCTTCTTAGCTAGGTTTTGCTATCAGTTGACTTCTTTTCTTGAAGAGATTCAAGAGCAGCATCTTAGCTGCTTAGCCTGTACATTACCCAAATACTTATGAAAATGATTAACACAAGAGTTACACCAGGAACTCTCCTTTTCCCTCCCAAATGTAAACAAACTAGCAGACAAACCTGTTTTCTTTCATCTTTTCCTTTTCTCCCATTATTTGGGGTAAATGCCTTGTATTTCCAATCTTAGCAAGTCACAAAAAGGGGGGGAGTGTGCCTCCTTTTCCTGCCTCCGAAGCTGAGACACACTCACAGAATATCCTGTGATTTAGTGTCTACATAACATTACATATAAACTTTGAGAATTTCTAAGACCAGAAAACTGTTCAAGAATGGTAAACTCAATTTAGCAGTTATCCGATTTTTGTCAGAGACAGACAACCAGGGTAATAAACAGTAGACACTTCATGATGTGCCTTTTCCCATCTTAAATTTCCTTTCTTCTACTAGATGGAAATGCCAATCCCATACTACGTTTAAGAGCCTTACTGATCAGTGCTAGAAGACATTTTCACACACACTCATCCAATCAATCCCATGAACTCAAGTTTGTGACACCAATTCCATATGCTGCAAATGAACAGAACAACTACGTAGCATTGCACTTGTACTCTAGAAAAATTCCCGAAACTCCTGAAAAATCCCTCAAGTCTCATTGGAAAGTGTGAATTTTCTTGAACAGCCAAAGCCAACGTCAGGTAATTTTACATTCCTGTAGGTCACCATTTCTTCAGTGTCCACACAGAAACGTTAATTCTCTACAGAAACTAAAATTCCTCTCGTGTTAAAGAAAAAGAGTGGTAAAATCAAAAAGGAGGAACTGGCAGCACACAACTATTTCTCTTGGCTACTGAGACACAAATATGAGGCTGTGTTGCTTCCATAGTAGCGTGTGCAGTTCAGATGTGTCACAAAGAACAGGAAGGATTCCATGGTCTCCAACCCTCACCAGTCCCCTGCCTGCTTGTGGGCTGCTCAGCACAACAAGCCAGGCTGCGGCCTCCTCAGCTGCGAACCCCTACCCCAGGAAGGTTGCTGCTTACTGAGGGAAGTTAACTTGGTGTAGCTGGATGGAAGGAACTGCCAACCTGGCATCCTGGCGAGGAGGCCCTCTGCACCACTGCTTCTCAGGTAGTTTGATCTTTCTGTGCATTACGACAGTGCAACTTCTTCCATGCTCTCCAGGGAAAGGTTGAGAACTGGCAATGTAACAATCAACAGGTGAAATTACATTGTCTCTCACGAGCCCACTAAGGGAGTCAAATATAAGACTGCCCTAAATAACTACTGTATGCACCTTCCCAAAGGAGTGTTTTTGAACACAGCAATGATAATCCGCATTTTGGCTATGATTTTATATACAGTATGATAACAACAGTGCTAGCTAGTAGCACTTAGTTTTACCAATTTAAATATTAACACAGTGTTGTGACAAAGTAACACATCTAAATTCCCCAAAACATACTGTACCAGCAATAACTTTATGTAACACTTTGAGGTTTTTAAACATTGGCAAGATTTTAAACTTTAGTTAGACATAGTTCATTCTTTATGGGTAGACAACATAAAAACATAAGTAGTATATGCACAAAATCAAAAGACCCAGGAAGAGAAAGTATCTTCCACTCCTATAACTTAATTTATAGGCTATTTTTAGTAAGCATTTAATCTTAAGCTTATGGACGGTATGCATTATGGTAAACAACACATAATTTAAAATAAATACAAAAGGGCTTTGGAAAAGCCAGTCCCTCAGTTTATTTTTCTTTAAACCAAAATTATAAATGCTTGCTAAGAAAAACAAATGCAAGCATATGTAATACAAATCATCAATTTTCATTATTCCAATGAGTCAGTCAATCCACTACAACCAACACCATAGATTTTGTATATTTTACTTTTTGTGTCAGGAGATACAGGTATCTTTCATTTGTATTATGTACTCTGCATCCCATCGACATAAAGATGTACCAAAAAAAAAAAGTATTTCTATACGGTTACACTATCTTTAAAAAAAATTCTTATCAACTTCTCTGCTGATAGCTTTTGGTATTTATGTTTAGAGTAGACAAAATCTAGGCTAGACCGTAGTGCTAGTATAGATATAAGAGTTTCATGGCACAGAGGCATTTTTTTTGCACCCTTTGAAGCAGCCTTTGGATAGACAGATGCCTGATGGTCAACAATCCTGGTAAGATGTTTTGCTCAACAATCATTTAACATAGAAATTAGACCAAATGGAAGGCATGTTCTTTATTGAAATCACAGCAAGACAGCAACTCTGAAAGGCAATGCCTCACATTTGTAGTGAGCAGATCAGGTGAGCTTCAGCTAACCAGTGTTCACTGCTGTTGCATACTGCTTATAATTCACATCCTTAAGGCAAGACAATTTCCTTTCTTGCAGGAGAAAGTCAGCAGTCAATTTTCTTTCATCTTTCTGTGTTGGCCAGTTAAATATTACTAAATGCAGTGGTAAAAACAAAATCAAGTTCAATACGCTATACGATTCAGAGACAAAACACTTTGGAAAAGTACATAAGTCATTACATTCTATTGCAGGGAATTCAACTGGAACTTTGAACTCTCTATGATGATTAATCCATTATGCTATATCTTTTCTGCAATCTATCATTTTTATACACTAAAACTAGAATTTTTCATTTAAATACTTTTACAATAACACAAACCCATCAAATACTTACCCATTGCTATAGAGGACAGTGTTAATTAGCAAGAACAACTGCTTCAAATCTTATTTCACAGCTGAAATAGCAGCTTTCTGCTTTGAAATTAGTATTCACATTTATTGTTTTCTCCTAAATAAAACATGACTTCTGATTTCATTCCATAAAAATGTAGAACAAGCCAGCAGAGCTCCAGTAGTAGAAAACCTGGTAGAACCTGGTAGTGAAGTAAAAATTGACTTCAACTATTCATAAATTGATTAAGTGCCAAAACGATTAGAAAAAATTAATGAGTGCACTCTGACTGGTATCAAAGAGCATGAGAAGCACTGAGTACATTTGTTACGGCCACCATGAAATCAGGTTATCTGACAGACTGCTTGGTATTTTTGATCAGGAATAGTTTGTGCAAGGCAATGGTCTGCAGGAATAACACCAGGGAACCTACTGTACCAGTATTGCTGTATATGATCAAAACTGCAACTAAATGGTGCTGCAAACATATGCAACTGAGTATATAGGCTTTAATCACTTACTCCTTTCTGTCTTCTGCTGTGTTGTTTTCAGCTTTTGTTAATAAGTCATGTTATTTCCTCAAGCATTCCACATGCCCCCAGGTACATACAAAAAAGAAAAGAGATCTTGCCATTAGCTAATAAATAAATAAATAAATAAATAATCCTGTGAAATGTCAGTTCCACCCTACCATCACATGCCCTGAAATGTAATCATCACATGGGACATGACCTTTCCTCAGTTGTCTGAGAGGGTATACAATGACCTTAACCCAAGAACTTCAGCTCTGGGATTTACACTTTTTGTTTTCATATGGGGCAACCTCACATCTCATGGCCTTCTGCACACATTGTGAAATCCCTCAGTCCACTCAATTTTTTTTTTTCCCCTAAGTGAGACACAGTCATGGAGTAAAAATGTAGCTGTGCAAAACATAAGCATTGCTTGAAAAGATGTCCTTATCCTTTTCCAATCCTCTTTTCTCCATGTATTCCTTAAAATACGAACAGCAACCACACACTGCTTCCTTACCCTAATGGATAACTGATGAATGCTTATTCTGCTCTCCTGGCAGAGCAGCCCCTAAAGGTTTATTTCCATTTTTTATTAACTTGATTCTGAATCATCACAAGGTGCCTTAAATACAACAACTTCCTTAGGATGTTCTTAAGATGTTATAGTAGTAGATATTCTAAGCAAGGTGTCAGGAGCAAAGAACACTGAACACTGGTCATTTGTACTATATGGAAGGTAAAAATAAAGGTAACAGTAAAGACAGCTATTAGTCTATTACTCAACTTCTAAACCCAAATTCTAGAAGCAGACACCAAGTATTTAGAGAAATAAGACTGCATCTCTGCATACACCACCTTTAGAAATCAAGGCCTCAGCATTTCTTCTGCTGCCCTTACTTGTTCTTCACTTCTCAAGTCAGAAAGCAATCTACTCCTGTTTCAATATACTTTGTTACTACAAAAAGGAGCCTCACTAGGCATGTCAGTGAGCAGCTGAGCTCTTGAGCAAAAACAGTGAGGCAACAGAAGCGGTTGCAAAGCTACCACAGGCAGTATTAGTTGTCAGAGGTAACTACTTAGCCATGGAGCAGTAGGCAGCTTGCTTCCACCCTCCTGCGCTTACGGCTTCTCCAAAACGCACATGGAAGAGGTAAAATAACAGTGAAATATTTAAAAGAAAAACAGTAATTGAAACTTCCTCTACTTCTATATGTCAATTCGTGTTCTTCACTTCCAGCATTCGGCCTCATTTGGAGAGCGTAAGAGCCAACCCGCTCTACAGTAAGACACGCTGCAAGAGAATAGGAAAGCTTACACAATGAATACCTGCCAACATTGTTCTCGCTCCAGGAGCTCATGGGTAACATACTCCACTAGGAACGTTCCCCACCCTCGGATGCTCTGCCACATACAAGGTATGAGTTGTACAAAGACCACACGGCAGTCCCAGAAGACTGCCCTAGCAAACACAGAGAGAAATGTGAGCATAACACAACTTTGTTCCAAAACCCATTTCATGGATCTAAAATAAGCATTTAATCAGCATTCACAGCTCAGTCAGAAATCTCACTTCTGGAACTGATCAGTCAGTGATCAGTCATGGCCAAAATACTAAGACCCCTTGGGTAAGCAGCATTCCTACCATGACAGCAGTGTCACCTGCATACTAGCATAGTGTTCATTACATAGAAAGGAGTGAAGAACAGCTTATTCAGATGTAAACATTGAAAAAAATCTCTTAAAATCCTCTGCACTACAAATTTGTTGCTCATAACCTTAAAAAGTACCCTGAACACTCGCCTCTATGCACACACAAACTTACTGCCCCCACTTTATTCCACTGGTGTCTTTACTTTTTCTCAGCAATGAATAAAGTCAGGCTGATAGCGTAAAAGTTAGGAGCACTAAATTCTTTACATTCTACCACTAAAACTATTTCACCAAGACAACTGAGGTTTCATTTAAGCTAGAACAATTTCTCTTTCCTTCTGTGCTCACAAGTGTACCTCAAATGCTGAAGACTCTACTTAAAGAGACATGTTCTCACTTGTTTTTGTTTTTGTTTTGTTTTGTTTTTTGATTACTTCACTCTCACCTATATCCTGGACACTTTTCCAGGAACAACATATTGTGCAACACAGTATTTCATAGTAACCTTGTGCTCTAATAATGCTGTGCTATTTTATTGCACACTAAATGTAGCTGATTACTGTTCCTACTCCTGAAAGGAATACAGTCAGAAATCAGTACACCATCCACATCAGCAAAACAAATAGTTCTTCTTGAGATGGGCTTCTGTTTCTGAAGTTGAGCCTGTGCGTTTGTACAAAGACATCTTTTTGTCAATGGCTGAAAGAAAACTGTGGATGACTGGCCAGATTTACATTGCAGAAGGTATATAAGGGTCATAAAAGGGACACAAAAATCTCTACTGAGTTCCCCAAAAACTGTAAGGATAAGTAAATATCGTTAGACGATTTATATTGGTAGTTGACGAGTTCATAAGGTATAAAAGGTGCAATAAGGTATAAAGGGTGATGCAGACCAAATTACTTCTGAAAAGGCTGAGTTTCTTTCAATTCAGAATGAACACCTTTGAAGGAAAAAAAAACAAGATTTCTTTGACATTGACCACACAGCTTAAAATGCATTTTGTACTCCTCTGTGTGCATATATATAATCTACATAAATTCAAAATATAAAATATTTATCTTTTAAAATATTAAATATTTATCTTTTTAAGTGTTTTATATGTATAAAAATACATAAAAACACAATACATACTTTTATCTCTTTTTCTATAACCTGACAAAAGATAAGACAGCAAAGATGAAAGTCTTATATTGCTTAGCCAGATTAACTCTAATTGAGTGGGTACCTTTTAATTTCAGTAGAATAATGTTTAAATTAATAAATATTTAAATTAAATAAATATTTAGCTGTAATTTCTTTCTGCTTCAGATTAGTCTTAAGAGAATCAAGGTTCTGAAAAGCACTCATCAACTGCTTCTTCTCCACATCAAATTCAGTTTGACTAATAATAAAACTAATGGTTATTTTTGAAACTCCAGCTAAGAAAGGAGGATTCTAGGTCTTCATTAACTGCTGCTACTCTCACTGAAGACAACAAGCTTTTTAAGTTAGACATGAGAATTATACTTATTTCCTGATTATCACTGCTTCATTCTATCTGACTGATTTCCAAGATTTTATTTGGAACATCATATCTGTTAGGCAAAGCTTGATCACACCACCCTCTGCAGCAGAATGCTCATGGCTCTCTGCCACCTGTTGAAATATGCCATGTTTATTCACTGTTTAAACACCTTTTGTTTGTTTTACTATCAAACTCACTTCTTTGGTTAAACAGTCAGGGAAATGGATCAAAAGTCTCTGTGTTAACAGTTTAGAGCTTCTATTTCAGTGTGTCCAATTCAGCCTCTGTGTGCTACCCATCTGGAGTTTTGTTTTCACAATGACTCATGGACGCAGAATAAGACTCACTGAATGGTCAAAAGCAAAAAGCAAAGTTTTAGAAAAACACTTCCGAAAAATGAAAGTGCTATTTCATTTGACAGATGAAGCAGTGGATAGAGCTCTGCCATTTGTAATGCTGGCTATAGGGTCATTCCCAAAAGGCAGTAGGTATCCTCTTCTCATATGTGGTACCATCCATTTGTACCGCACATCTGGTCTAGAAGCAGATTGTGAGAGGTCAGTCATGGGCCTAAAGCAATGACACTCACACTGTCTTTGCAAGTTTTGTCACAGCTGAGTGATATTTTTTCCTGTTAGGCTTTTCAGACTTTTGAATTGACACATTCTATAAGCCCTATAATATTATATAAAACTTAAACTTTGAGACATTTGTTTTCCATTCATCAGAATTGACTCTTCTTGGAGATCACTTGATAAGTTATTATGCTTGTTTATTGTAGTAAAGACTGTAGACACCTCTTTTGTATTGTTATTTTGCACAGGGTTAAACAATAGTCCGATCTGTTCTGTAAGACACAGCTGTTTCAGAGAACTCCCATATGCTGGCAAAACAGCCATCCCTGAGCAAAAAGCTGATGGAGAGTGTGTGCTAAATGGGAATGCCAGAGGCAGCTCACCTGCCGACAACTGCCTTCCAAGGCTTGAGGCTTTCATGCAGAGAGGGCCTGGCTCTTCACAGCTTGCGGCACGTGAGTAGGGGCACCAAACTGCTGCATTACACAGCAGCAGCAGAGGAACCTAAACTGTTAAAGGTGGAACCAGGTCTCAGCCAGGGCACTATGTTATCACAGCTCAGGTCCAGGACCTAGGGCAATCCATTAAGAAGGCAAGTCTTTCTTCCCTTCCCATCTTAACAGATTTCTCCTTGCTGACTACACAGGCAACTCTGTAGGTTTTAAAAATTCTGCGTTCACTAGGTATCTAATGATTTCACAATTATCAGCAATTACTGCATCAGTGAGCAACATTCTCAGTAGCAGTTACATAATACCATAAGCATATATCTATAACATATGGTTTCCATGATTTTCTTCAGCTTTGTTAGGCATCCCCACAAACATCTACATAAACATGCAGTACTATGTGATATAGTAAAAGCAAATGAGAAAGGAAAGAAATACAGACTTTTAAAATATGACTCATGCATTTTTGTGATTAAAAAGACCCCCTCAGATACAACCTGTTTTTTATTTTTCAACCTGAGAAAACACTCTGCCTACTGATTTCCAGAACATGGAGAAGGACTTGCAAATGTTCCAGAGAGGACTCAAAGTAGTCCCAAACCACCAGAAAAGGTGAGTGAAAAAAACCAATGTACTTCTTAATTTCAGCACTCTCCTTCTTACTTGTGAATACTGTAAACCAAACTCACCATCTCAGGCTGATAAGGAAGAAACACACCCAAAAAGAGGGATATGGGGAGAACTTGGAAGGGATACAGTATCAAGAAGAGTTATGACAATCATCACCCTATCAATTTCAGCTCTGTCATATCACTGTGCTTTGCTAGCAAGAAATATGATCAAATCCAATGAATACAGAAATAAAAACTCACTTTGTCTCAAACTGCTGGAGAAAAAAAAAATGATACCATTATTCTACAAACAAGTACAAGATAAATCCTGCCCTTTTAAGCACAGATTCTTTACATTTTAAGTGCCAACAGTTTTACTTTTGCTAGTACCATTTTGTAGAAGTAACATACTGGGGTTTAGATCCAATTTCACAGCTGTGTTTATAAAGGCTCTATGTGTTATAGAAGGTTCTCTTTGCAATAGCTCTTTAGTCTTAAGCTGCACGTTAACCAATTACTCACCTTCACAGTGACTGTACAATAGCTGATTGCTAAGTTTTTATGCTATTACAAACACTGTCACAAGGGTGGCAAAAAAAAAAAAAAACAATGCAAATGTTGCTGTACTGCTACTGAACAACAGAGGGCACTACTCAGATGTTTCGCAGAAAATATTCTAAAAATAAGAACTAGGTTCTCTTCTAACTTTCCTATTTTTATTTTTTTCTGTCTAAATGTTGCTCTTTGATTCCTAATCTGGGCATAGTAAAGAACCTCTCTTACTTTTCCTGTATGCATGCAGAACACAGTTCTTCAAATTGTTTACTGTTTTGGCTGCAAAATAACTTTCCAATGGTCAGATACTGCCATATGGTGACACACACAGAAAATTACTGTTGCTGTTAGGTGCATTTTGCTTTTCCTCTGCCTTCCCCTGTGCACTTATAAACAAAACCTTCTGCTAATCACATCGTAATTCCCAAACTCTTACTATACTGGCCAAGCCTGCACACAGAGAAATGAAGAGTTGCTGAGGAGCACACTGCAAATCCATGATGGTAAAGCAAACAAAGCATAGAGGTCCAGATTTAACTCTTCCCTTATCCAATTTCCCTTAGTTATTATCCAGCATCACTTTCGTTCTTATACCAAAATCCAGATCTTTCCAGAAAACAGATTTTCAAAAGTGATGATTCAAAGCAAAGCTTAATGTAAGGTTCCAAACATTTTCTTCAGCAGTAAGGGGAAAAATCCAACATTATGCTGCGGATATCTGACATTATTCCTGGTGACTATGTGTTAGAACCTGTAATCATTAACCTATGCATTTCCTATTTCTGGCCATTTTCAGCCAAATAACAGTTTTACATGTATTTACTGCTGAACATCCTTTCTGGGGACCCCTGTTAGACATATTTCACGTTGCTTTTAATTGCCACTTAAATGGAGTCAAGGCATTTCCTTACAGATTATTTTCTATTTTGGAAAAGCTTTTGAAAAAACGACCCCAAACCTCTGTACAACCTGCAACTGCCCAGGGAATCCTCCAGACTCTCTCCCAGCCTTCTTCTGCATGCCTCAACTCAAGTCACAGTCCTCGTGCCCAGCAGAACACAGATTTTGACCTAAGCTACCTGCACTGGGAAATAAAGGTAAGATGTGACTGCTGCAGTACATGGCTTCCAATGATGTGATACATTTTTATTTCTTGAGGACAGCATGAGACATTATTTCACAGACTGTTTTCCCCAGTGTGGATTCTACTGACTTAAATTTGTTTTTAGCTATTACTCTGCAAGACAGTTTGCGTAGCTGTAAAACTCTGCATTCTTAGGGTACTAAAGCTAAACTAACACATCACCAGGACTATGCTGCCAATCAGTTTTTCCATCTTCATAGTAACTATCTTGTATATCTTCCAGGTGCTTGAAAAACTGAGAAATGTTTTCCAGACAGATTCGCTTACAGAGATCCAGGAATGGCTCTCAAAGGCAAGTCTAAAAGGTAACAAGCACGTGCATTCATTTTTGAAGGGAACAATCTCTCGCATATTTGTATAAACCCCAGAAATTCTCACAGGCCTGAACTATGTGGGATTGCTGAGTTGGAAGGACTCACTGCGGTGGGCCCAGATGTGGCCATTCTGAACAGAAAGCAGTCACCCAGATCTCAGGGGTCTGCTGCAGGGTAGGAAAGCATTACACTCTCAATAGCACTCTGGGCTGTGGGAAGGCAGAAAACAAATGTTATTTCTCATGTCCTTAAGCCTCTCAAAAAATCCCAGGTAAGGGAACTCCCAAAGTCACCTCCAAACATCCAAATCAGCAAGCAATAATGCAAATAAAATCTCTGCTGTTTTCCAATTTCAGAGAAAGTCTTTATGTCCAGGCTGATTTACTCTGAACTGACTGGTAAAGGCAGGCTGAATAACCAGCCACATGCAATGCAGGAGGGTGCAGGAGAGAGCACGAATATCCAGAGTTTGCTAAAGCCTCAGTCTCCTCAGAGAGGTCCAGAAGGAGATATAAATAACAGGTAAAATCTGTGGTGAGGCTGCCAGGGCAAGGGGATAAGCTCAACCTAACTAGAAAGTTTTGTTTTCTTTGCCTCTGGATTTTGTGAAAAATGCAACTTTCTGACAGAAATACATCACACAGATCTTGAATGAGAAACACTTCTAACTATAAAGGAGCTCACACACACTGATACAAATTTAGTTTTTACGGGAACAGGACAGAGCTTTCTGAGCACTTTAAAGCTCTTTCAAAAAAAAAAAAAAAAACAACAAACAGAAAAGGCAAGCCTCCTGTATATTGCAGAGAACAGTTCATACTGTTTGACTTTTGTCCTTTTTCATTCAGGCCTTCAACTAACAGATCAGAAGCAAGTCAAAACATGAAGCATGGTAAGTACTGGAAATTGTAAATGTTAAGATGCCATGTGCCTAGCATGCTACAGAAAAGGGACTGTGAATGTAGAGCAGCTTTACCTTTTGTCATTGCAGCAGGCCCAAATTCAGTGACAATATGAGATATTAAACTTAAAAACAGAAGTTCGCTAAGCTAGATACCCAAGACTCTTGAGGCCACTCAATTAGTTTCTCTTGATATAACATTCATGTAAATCTTTTAACCAGTGCACCTCATAAATGCAGGAAGATAAGGGATGTGTATAACAGCATTTGTGCATTGCTGGAAAAATCATAGCAGCAGGAGGTACTGACTTCATCTCTTCCTTCACTAAAATCTCCTTTTAGGAGTTTCACATAGGCTGTAACTCCTGCTGTTAACAAACTTTGGAATTTGCCATCATGTAATATATCTCCCTGACTCTTTGCAGCCAAAAATAACACTTTGAGATTTTTTCAGCTACCAAAGCCCCCTTCTGAGCCTCTAGCCAACCAAAGGAAACAAACATTACTGAAACTCCCAACGAACCCACCAGTGCCTCCTTGTATCCCTTCTGAAACACAAAGAAAGAGACAACAGAAGTCAGTACCTGAATGCCTGATCATTTTAACAAAGCGATTCACAGCAGCTCCAATGCATTTACTGCTGTTACTAACCTTATTGAAGGAGGAGGGAAGCATGATCTTTTATAAGAACAAGGACAAAAGAAAAAACCTTTGAAGCATCAATTTCTCCTTCAAAGTGTTGTTGGGGATGCAGAAGAGGCGTCCTTTCTCAAGGGTCTACCAAAATTCTAAGCCTAGCCTGGTAACATACTGCTTTCTTTTTCAAAATCTTTTCCAGAAATGGATAAAGACCGTATTTTGTTCTCAAGGGTGAGAAACAGAGGTCCAGCACATGCAGACACATCATCTCCAGAGAAGAGCCATGGCTGGCAATGGAAACAAAGAGATGTGCCCTTGAATGCTGCCCTGCAGCACACCAAACAACAGATAGCTCCCTCCCAAGGGAGGCCCATATCTTCATAGCCATTAAAGCAGCTGCAAGTCATTTTCACATACAGAAATGCATACTCTTAGCACTTACAGATATAAAAATTAGAACAAATGTAAAGAAATCTGTTCAGATTCCCTTTTAAAATTATTTTCTATTCATTACATTTGGCTCTCAAATCATGCTGTGTAGGTACATGTGAAGTAAGCTAAGTGGAAAAAGGCAGAGGCAACGCTTTTCATCATCAGATTTGTGTTTCTGCATGACGTAGGCCTGTACAAATAATTCTTGTAATTCTAACTTTCTCTTGTAACTCTTGACAGTCACAGGCATAATGAGACAAGGAGAGGGTCTCATCACTTAAAAAAAAAAAAAAAAAAAAAAAAAAGAGACCCTGGGTTCCCAAAATCTGGCTGCAATGACTTCAGATGTCTACCTCAAAGCAAACCATTGTGTACTTCCATATCTCCCATTATAAACAGAGAAGCATCACAGATTGATTTTAGCATCTGCAGCACATAGGGCAAACCAAACATGAAAACTACCATGAAAACCTCAAGCCACTGAAATGTAGGCCAACAATAACAGAAAAATATCTGGACCTTTCTTAGGTCGAGTGAACTGTGAAAGCAGAAGAATTAGATTTTATCTGAACACGCCTCTGTCAATTCATTCTCACAAAACCAAAGCATGATGATAAATAAGCTACAGTTCTATTGATTTTTTAGAGAAAAAGAAATTCAGTGAAAATAGGCTCTTTCAAAACAACTGCCTGTTTTGGGGGAAAGGAGAGAAAGAGAGAAATCCTGTTAGCACAATGCTATGGAAAAAGGAGCTTAGCTCTGAGCGGAGCTTAGCTTACTCTTCTAACAGCCCCTATCATCATGTCCAATCATTTCTACATTAACAGCTACACCCTCCATTCCCATTTCTCTCTGCAAAACAGGAACACGCTGTGACCTGGGTGACAGTCCCAGCTCTGTGAGCAGCCAGTGAAAAGCCACTCGCACAGAGCAGTCATTGCTCAGATGCACTTGCCAGCTCATTCCACAGATGCAGAAACTCATTTGTACAAATGATTTAAATGGGTATCAGTTTCTGGGATATGTTAGGCATATGTTGTTTCCCTACAGCTGTCCAACAGTATTAGCCTGTAGGGCTTGGTAAATGGGAGCAGAACTTCAAATGGGAGGAGTTGACAAACATTATATTGTACAAGATGAACCCCCTCCCTTCTACAGCACTTTGAGGTTTCCCTTGTGTCTCAGGTAATAACACTACAGAAGAGGTGGAAACCAAATAGCAGCAAATCCGAACAGCAGGGCTGGGTGACCATACATCGAGTGAACAGTAACAATATCTGTGTGTGTACTTCTGGGCCATATTCATCTTGCCTTAATTCTATATAAATTTCTGCCCTAAGCGTTTCTTATCAACTGTCTCTCAGCATCATGCTGTGTTAGTTGAGCCTGAAAAGCTTCATTAAATCTCAGAGACCTTGGAGACTCATTACTGAATAGAATCAGAAAGAAAGCAAGGTTAGTACAGCTTTTCAAAGCACAGGTACGTTCCCTCTGTGAAGCTGGCAGGCTACTGAGCAAACACATTAGAGCCATTAAGTGAGATAGTTTGCAAGGTTAGTTTTAATCAACTGCATCTTCAAAGGTATTTCCCTTCAAAGCCATAGGCTACTGCTTTTGCTAGATGTCCAAAACAAATCTTCCTCAAAGGTGCTTCACCCACCTAGGAAAATCATAGAATCATAGAATGATTTGGGTTGGAAGGGGTCTTTAAGATCATCTAGTTCCAACACCCCTGCAACAGGCAGGGACACCTCCCACTAGAACACGTTTCTCAAAGCCCCATCCAGCCTGGCCTTGAACACCTCCAGGGAGGGGGAATCCACAACCTCACTGGGCAACCTGTTCCAACATCTCAACACCCTCATGGTACAGAATTTCTTCCTAATATCTAGTCTAAATCTACCCTCTTCCAGTTTAAAGCCATTTCCTCTCTTCCAGCCACTACAGGCCCTTATGAAAAGTCCCTCCCCAGCTTTCTTGTAAACCCCTTCAGGTATGGAAGGCCTCTATATGGTCCCCTAGAGCCTTCTCTTTTTCAGGCTGAAGAATCCCAGCTCTCTCAGCCTGTTCTCATAAGGCAGGTCCTCCAGCCCTCCGATCATCTTCACGGCCCCCTACTCGACCCACTACAACAGCTTCACATCCTTGTATTGGGGGATGCAGTACTCCAGGTGAGGTCTTACAAGAGCAGAACAGAGGGGCAGAATCACCTCTCTCAACCTGCTGGCCATTTTTCTACTGATGCAACGCAGGATACGGTTGGCCGCCTGGGCTGCAAGCATAAAGGACAAACAAGTTTCAATGCGTGAATCTTAAGACTAGAATAAAAGTTATTTATGTTTAGAGGATAAAGAATGGCAAAAGTCACACCAGATCAACAGGCTACAGCCTAATACAAGCGTTACCCAGTCATGCTGTTCACTTGTCTTGACTCCTTCCCTGGTCCTACCTGCCTGCTCTATTGATGATGTAGATTCTCTAACAGGAAGAGCTGAAACAGATTCTCACAAACACCAAGGCACAGCAAGGATGGAGATCCTTGAAAGACTATTCTGGTGAGGCAGCTGCATTTCTTTGTTCTGTAACAAAATTAGATGCCTCATCTTCAGAACTATCATTTGTTCTTACCACCAACAGCTGGGAGTCTACAGCCTTTTGGAACCATCCTCTGTTACTGAGAAGAATCAGACAGTAAGCTAATTTAAATAGTCATGCATCAATGTTAAACATTTCTAAATGGTTCATGAACTACTCGGGTAGCAAATCAACCTCCCCTGAAAGTATTTATTTCCATTCCTCTTCAGAGAGGTTATACTGTCACTGCACACTGGGCCCACTCAATTTATCTCTGCAGTGTGCAGTTCAAAAAGAAAAGTTATACACTTCACTGCAATAACTAAATATGGACAAAGTTTCAGAGTTTTCAGGAAAAAAAAAATATGCATTGAAAACTACTTCAATAAGCAGTTCTGAAAAAAAAAACTTATTATTCTAATAGATTTGAGTATCTTTATTACGTAACTTACTCACTGAACAAATAGCTGACAGCACTCATCATTCACTGCCTTCAGTTCAGATCTCATACCTGTCTTTTACTGGGGATTTACTTGGACCTGGAATAGCAGTGGCCATCTCTCATTTTTAACAGCTGGAATCATTGCTGTTGTTTAGGCAGCTTTCTCTAAGTGATATGCCCAGCCTTCCCATGAGTAATTTTGCTGTCATGCCTGCAGCACAACTGTCAGAAGTGCACCATGTCATATTACAGGATACAATTCAAGCAGCTTGGAAGCCAAATTCAAAGTCCTACCATTTCTCACAAATCCCATGTTTTTTTTAAATCACTTGTTTCCTGCCCACCACTGCAGAGTGACAAGGTGCTAAGATGTACTACTTGAGAAGCCCATGCTCTTTTTCATGGGGGCAGTCAAACATTCAGGGAAACTGGAAAATAAAAAAGGACAACATACACATCCAAGTGAAATACAGGACAAGACCAACACTACTCAGGATGGTTTTCCCAGGAATGTCATCAGACGGCCATCCTACCATTCTGCACTTCCACAAAGCAAAAAGATATTAGAGAGACAGGAGGACTACATTCCTGGTCTGTCTGATGAGCAGATGCATTATGGCAGGGGCTACAGGTCTCCCCACTTTTGTGCTGCAATCGTTTTGTCGATAATCTTGTCCTACCTCTGGAAGAAAACCTTGTCCAGGTCATCACATCACAAGAAGTACAAGTCCTTACTGCTCCATCTACAGCAGTTGACACAACCTGAGAACAGCATCTTGTAGAGACAGTGCGTGACAAGATGCACAGACTTCAGCATAGTATGACCAATGAGGTTAGCATGATCAGAGAAAAGGTAAACAACAGCTACAGAAATTACTGTCAAAGGCACTAGAAAGGACACAAAAACCAAAGTGATTTAGACAACGTGAATGAACACCCAGTGATTGGTCATAATATCACTACTGTGATATTATGGAGCAACACTCGAAGTTTTACAAAAGCAACATGCTAGACTTTTCCTAATTTGAAGTTAAATGTGTTAGAAAACAGGAAGTGGGAGCCAAGTGACACTTCCAGACAGTGTTTCCTTGTTTTGTAAGACCACATAAATCCTATCGACTTTAGAACTTGCTGGCAATCACTGCCCAGGTCTCCCACAAACTCACAACTTTCACCTGCTTTGTGTCAGTCACAGTCTGGCTACATGCTTGTAAGTACTACAGGTAACTACTGTCTGCTGCAGGGATACTGGACCTCTAAATTGCAGGTACTTACTCCAAATCTGTTGGAAGCACTGCAGGTAGGCATCACTCAAATCTTGCAGTCATTCATACATCCTGTAGATTAAAGCAAGGACAGGAATATGGTCTGGATTTATCCACAGATAGGAAAGCTCCAGATTTGCAACAGCTTGATTTAAAAATGTGCATTTTTCTGTTTTCACTGCTGCACACGCAAGACAGGCTGTCTTTTAGGCTGTAATACAATTCCTTCATGAAACAAAAATGCTTTGTCACCAGAATAATTTCATAAAATGCCACTGGACCCATTCAAGCGTCTCTAAAGTCCCCAGTTTATCTCCTGAATGAGGCACACATATGAAATAAGCCTTAAAAAAAACCTTTAAGAGACTGAAGAGTCTTAGACCAGGTTTAATAGGTGCTATGTACATTAACATGCAGTGTCTCAGCTGTAAAGATAAAGACCTCCTTGCAATTTTAAAGTTTCACAAATTTTTGTCAGAACTCAGTGTAATAAATAGTGGGTATACTTACACTGCTTGTTACAGATACAATACCAGCAGTGCCTTTATGAAGCTAGTCTTGCTGTAACTAAAGAAATCATGTTTTTATGTAGCTTAACAAAACCAAACCAAGAAGTACTTGAGGAAAAACGCCATCCTTTCAAAAGAAGAAACTTTTCTGTGGTTATTTTAAAAGTATAGGGAGAGGTTTAAGAAGTCATGACCAGTTTGCTGCCAACCCTTTAGGGACCATGAGGACTCTGCAGGGATCTCACTTCCATTCTCAATTAAAAAGCAATAGCAGAGGAAGGAATACAGATACAAAGTCACATTTGCATCTCTTCTGATTCCAGGTCAGCAGAGACAAGCAGTCACAGTAATGTGGGTTTTAGCTCTTCAGCAATCAGTGTGAGAGCCATACTTTTTCACAGTCCAAAATGCCCCAGCAGCTACTTGGACAGCCCCTACAAAGCAAGGGAATGGGGCACATTCTCACAGGTGAGAAGCGAAGCCACATCTCCAAAGTGTCCATTTCTGAACTTGGAAAAAGCACAAAGTGGTTTACAGCTTCCAGCCAAGACAGAAACTATGGCTTTAAAAGGAAAAAAGAAAAAAGCAAAGTATTTGACAGACAACACAGTTAACATAATGGGGAAAAAACAGAAAAACAACCAACCAAAAAAACAAACAAAAAAAAAAAACAGGTATACTGAAACTGAAGAATAAGACTTGTAACTAAGAGATCCTGACTTCCAGTATTATTCTGACACTGCAGGTTAAATTTTACTAAGATGATAAATATATAAAAAGTGATCGTGTCACCTGAACTCACTGCACATGAACCAACAAATGTATCACACACCAGCCAAGGCACATGCTTCGCATGTACACAGACACCCATTTACTCAAACTGAAGCATTAAGCAATGGCTTGACCCCACACTTTTATCTCCTCCTCTGACTACAACTAACTAAAATCAGGGGTATAAAATGGAGTGGCTCAGCTGATAAAGGCAGCCCAGTTGCTTGTGACTGTCTGTTGAGATGCTCAGAAAAATCAGAGTTATTTCTGTCTTTAAGTGAATGTCTTGCAACAGGCACAAGTGGTATAGGTTTTGAGGTCACAGGATTATTTGTAATTCACTGCTTAGAACTGAAACAGAGATGAATGCAACATTAAAACAGTGATTAAGTATTTTGGGTAATATACCCAAGCAATTATTAAAAAAAATAAAACCAACATAAATAACATAGCTTCCTTGGTAAAGAAAATAAATTCTGCATTTGCTATTCATTTATTTTTTTTTTAAGCTATTAATATAGAAGTTTCAGGATAAAAACTGCATTTGTTTTTACCCTTTCTGTCCAAGAACAACTTTGACCCAACTCCAAAGCTACCAAGCATTGAGACAATTAAGTATCACAAGAGCAGCAGATGATCTTCAGAGCTTAACTGCTTTGTGTCTCAGTGTTATCCCACAAATTGCACGTCTCATCTTTCCCATCTTCTTATGCTGCAGGCTAGTTGCTGTCTGAGTCATTGTCTTCACCTTCTTTCTCAGACAGAGCATGTTGGGATGAATCATTGGCTTCTCCCAATGGAACTGCCCCTTTCCGCTGTGGCAAGACACTGAAAAAGGCCTCCTTCCAGTCTCTCTTCTCCAGGTACGCGAGGATGATTTCAAACACTGCAACATCAAGAAACACTATCAGCTCTTTTACAAGAAAGAAACTGAAGCGCTGATAGTAACACAGCTCCAAATCTATTTTTACAGACATTTACATGCATTTGGGTAGAGCCAAGGAAGTGAAGGAAGAAGCAGAAGTGGCAATTCTGATACTGTTGCAGTTTAAAGCAAAGCATTTTCAGTCTCTGGTCTCTATAGTCTCTCAGTTACTACAGCAACACTTTTTGTAGTTGCTCCACTTTGAACTGATTTCTGTAAGGGACAGAGGAATGTCCCCCCAGTCCTTCAGGTCTCACAAGTGCCTTCTATACTTATTAACACTTTCCCACGTTAGAAAGGAATACTCCTATGGATGCGCTTTAACAATGATGTCACTTCCCTCCCAAATTATAACACAAAGACAGTCTGAAGTCTCCCTAAAACCTACTATGACCTCATCATCTTTTTCTTCCACTTCTAACTGATGAAATCTGAGCTTAAAGTAAAAACTCTCATTACTCCCCCTTTCAGCAAATATTAATAATACAAAGTTCTTGTTGCTGCTATTATACTAACCATACTGTTACCCAACTCCTTCCTGTTTCACCTCTCACAATTTTCCCTGGGTAACAAGAGCTCCAAAGTGCATTACATGCAAATGTAATCAGCAAATTCTTATTTAGAAAAATCCCAGGCTGCCCCCCCCAAAAAAAAAACTTAATATAAATTGTGGCTCTGCAGCAAGGAAGGTAGGAGGCGTAGGTAAACCAGACATAGCTAACAAATCTGGGGTGCAGGGGTGGTTCCTCAAGCTTGAGGCTACAGAAATAGTGCTAACACCATTTGAGAATGGAGACTTCAAAAAAATGCACCCAGTGCAAATGTTCCATATGAGAAATGATCAGAGGAGCTGTGAGGGAGGAGCTGCTCAGATCTCATGCTGAGAGTCAAGATACAGAAAAGCATCACATTTACTAGAGATTTCCCAGATCCAGATTTCCTGGACAGCCTGCCAGGATGCCCAGATTACAGGACACTGTGACACTGACATAGATGGCCATTTTACCAAGCAGGTTATTCACCTTGAAAGCACTGCCAAAGTATGACCTCTCAAAGGTCATACCACTACATTAAAACCACTCTAAGTTACTCCAGAAAGCATCTGTGGCAAAAATGGTTGCTCAAGAAACAAGAAGAATACAAGGAACACCCTTGCTTTGGAACTTGGTACAGTAAAATTAGAACTGATGGAAAGAGAGAGGCTTCAACAGGGCAACAGAGGCTTCAATGATATGCTGCAATAGCAACAAAAGCATTCAGCAAGGACGGGAAAAGACAATGGGAACAGTTCATAGACATCACTGCAGACTGGAATTTAACATGGTTCTGTAAAATACACTAAAATGAATTCGCCTTGGCATAGAAACCTGAACGGATATTCGTGTTCCTCATGCCATTATAACATGCAGGCTCTGAGCCACTGATAGAAGTATACAGAGTCACCATCCCAATAAGGGTATAAATAAGCAAATAAATGAAAAGCAGCATATGGACTCCATATTGTTAACAACTGTTAACAATGCTAGCGATTTCTCACCACCAGAGGGCCCCGTTCAAAGACTGACAAGGCAGTTAACAAAGAGTTTCTTCTGTGAGATTTTTCCAATTCACCACTATTAAAAGCAGTTCCATAGGGACCAGGCAGGTCCCACAGTCTCATCTATCCCATGCTCTTGTCTTCTAGCTTCAATCCCTGCACCAAGAGCAGGCACCCAGATGTCAAATTAACCAAAACAGAAATGGTGAGCAATTACAAAAGCAACAAGATGCATTCTGAGGACAACAAAAAAATCTCAGCACAAATAAGCTTCTCTCTTGCACAAAATTTATATGAGACTTGAGAGACAGCTTGATTCTGTCCATCTTCTTCATATCTAGTTGCATTTCCCTTGAAAACTGTCTTTTTTAATTTAGTTTGTGTTATTAGGGTTATAATATGGACCAGGGCTATAACTACAACCACAACGTCCCTCCACTTTTGGCAATGGTGGAATTATTCTTGCCTAAAATCCTTAAGCAAAATATTGTCATAGCAGAACCTTTACTTCACAAATGATCTGTGTTTTATGTGTTTTTCAGCTCTGGTCTGAAAATATTTTAGAAGAGTACGGGAATGCAATCCCACACAATATGAAATCCCAGCAACTAAACTGCAGTAAAATCAGGTGCCTACAAGTCTAGCACAAGAAACATGCACAATATATAAACAAATAAATACACAAACGAATAAATGAACGTCCAAATATAAGTGATTTTTTTTTCCCCCCATAAACCAGCCTCCAAAAACGTTGACACTAGAGGTCAGTATAAGACTACTGCAGAAAAATTCTCCAATAAAACTCTACAGATAGCAGAACTTCTAAGCACAAAGATTTGCTAGTGCCTATATAAAGAACATGTAAGGATTAAAGGAAATAGTTTCTAAAACTTATGTTTAAATATTCTTTATTATCATGCAAATGTGCATCTCATCAATCACTGGCCTCTCATGAAATTAGAGTTATCATGCAACACATTAATAATATAACAAACCTGACACAAGGCAAGACAAATAAAATAAATGAACATGAAGTGAGGCAAAATGAAAACTCATATGCCATGTAAAAAATTCCCACAATGGTCTGCGTAGCCCCTGTTTTCTGTGTTGCTGGTTTTTTTAAATGACGCTGAAAAATAATAACAGAACAGGAGGACTAGAAGGCATCAAGACTTTGTCAAGCATAACTGTATACTTCAACCAAAACCAGGAAGCTAGGTAAAAATGCAGTTATGAAAGCTCAGTAGATGGAGTACTGCTTAATCAAACAAGGTCAGCATACAGGTACCTAAGCAGTTATAGCTGAACAAAGCTGTCAGAAGACATGAAATAAACATCACATATTCTTAACCTCCAATGGAATAAAATACACAGAACGGTTTTCAACGTTTTACTCGCTTATCCACTAAGTCTAGAAATAAGGCTGGGGTGGTAGCAATGCCAAAATTAATCATGGGACAAGACACGAGAACAGAAGGTGCACTTCTCAGTGGATAAGGCACTTCCTTAGATACTTTTGTATACTTACAGGTTAGGACTATTGTATCCTAAAGGCAATTAAATTCAAGAAACATCAGCACACTAAAAACTGGATGCTTTCACTATAGTGCACATTCTGAGGTTTCAAACTCAGAATTTTGCAGGTATATTCTGTAATAGCATAATCATTCACTATTTTAGAACTTACCATGATTGACTGCTAACACCTTCCGACTGTTCATCTTCACAAAGTTTCCCAGAGGGAGCTGTGCATGACCAATTCCTTGCTCTACAGCCTTTCTGTAAGTAATTCCCTAAAGGAAAGGCATAAAAACAACTGGACTGAGTACCACAATTCCATATCAGCACATACAGATAAGATTACAAGCATCATTTTCTGTCCAGAGTCTCGCCAGTACTGCCTCACTATTACTGTAAAAGATATTTAAAAACAGAAAACTATCCAGATAAGACAGTATCTGCTTCAAGAGTAATCTCTGGAAAACATACCACCTCAAATACATGCCACTCTATAATTTATGCTCAGAAGGATGGCAAACAAGACCTGGTCATACAGCTCAGGCACAGCCTGTTTCAAAGGCAAGCCTGAGCTTAAACACAAAGTTACTCAGTTTAAGGTAACCAGGTTTGTTTGTTTGTTTGTTTGAGGAAGACATACAGGGGAAAAAAAAAAAAAGCAAATTCAGCACCTGAGAAACAAACAAACAAGTTCTGGAAAGTGTGTACACTTGTACACTCAATAAGCATACAGAGGTTAGCCTTGGTAAGATGTAAAATCAGTAAGTACACAGATGTTAGGCTTAGTAAGATTGGAACACAAGTCACTGATACCACCACAAGTTTTATTTTCTCTTTTCTGCAACAAATTTTTAATGAAATCTTTTTTGAAGAAGTTTTCTTACTATTTATTTTTGTTAGTTTGTATGTGTGCATTATTTACATAAAGCAAGATGTGAATAGAAGAACTGTAAAGAAGCAGCATACCCACAGTTTACCTTGTGGTGATTATGATCCACCAGTCCTCCAATCACATAAGCCTTCCTCTCATCAAGCTCATTGAGAACATCTGGGGAATCTGAGGTGAGGTACACTAGGTCTTCTTTCTTTATTAGCTCACTGTAGTGCTCTGTTCTAATCTGGATATCCTAAAATAAATAAATAAATAAATAAAAGTTTAATAAGTTACATTTAACTGATGAGTTGCTGGGCAATCTTTACAGACCCAAGACTGAAGCAGCAAAAATAAAAGTTGCTTTATGCCCCTCATTCACGTTTCATTACATCCCATGGTACAGATTGCATACTGCATGAATAATCCACAAACCCACCATAGCTCCCTAAAGCACTGGTGTGTAAAACAGTTGCAGGGAAACTTTCTGAAACCCCAAAAGAACTTTGCAAAAACTTAAGTTCTTGTGATTCCCTTCAAGTGTTACCTTATGTCCACAGGGATCCCAATCATTTTCAAGACCACCTTTCCAAAAGAGCAAAACCAGATGCAAATGCTAACTAAGCTAACAGTACTTGTTAGGATTTGGTATGAGAGGTTTACTCTGCACCTTTGCAAACTGGCGATCACACAAAATCTGCTCAAAGTGGAACCACTCTTCAATCACACAAAGCATTCCTATTTGCTGGAATGCTTGTTTAACAGGGAGTCACAAGGAAAACCAACATGACGCTATGTCAAGCCATTTCTCTAAAGAACACTCAATACTGAGAGGTGATATAACAGAGAAGTGAACAGAAGAATCACCTCATTATTTCAAAGTAGTACTGTTCCCAATAAAAAATTAAAAATAAAAACCAAAAAGAGCACTGCCAAAACAGATGACTGTCAGAACTGCCTAAATCAAGCAGCCTATCAGAGAACAGCATCTGTTCAAGAACAAGGAAGACTGTGTGTGTGTGGAGTGTTTAAAACAAAAATAAAATCTAGATTCAAGACAAGCACTCCTTGACTTAAGTTATATTATTTTAGAGCACAAAGAGCCTCACTTCAACATGATATTGCTCTGAAGTCACAGAAAAAAATAACCATAGATTAAGCATTGGTCCTTCACAATACATAACCTAGCTAACAATTGTAATGAAGATTTCTTTTTCCCTTCTTATAGAAATAGTCAAATATTCACCTTCCAGTTGACCCATCCTTTGTCATTTTCATTCATGTTGCTCTTCAGCTGTCCTCCATGGCTGGTCAAGTAAAACTTTGACAAGAACAAATGAAAGACACTACTAAACTGTTAAAATGTCAATTTGTTTCCCCACTGTACAATTTTTTTTTCTCTCTTAATCATTAGCTAAAATGCTCACTTATCATCTAGTTAAAAGTGGTATGGTGCTAAAACCACACTCATGCAGCTAGGAACATAAAGAAATACACACAGTCCCTTTTTTCTATTTGTGTCATAGACAAAACTGACTATCAATGCTTGTTTTAGTGGCACATCAGTATGTGGCTGTTGGTGCAGTGCCAGATACTTTTTTTGTGTGTATTTTTATAACTTTTGGTTTGAAAATTCATCAGCTAAAATAGATGTAATTCTCTTATTAAAAAAACCAAGCTTTTTTTTTTTTTTTTTTTTTTTAAATGTCCAGTTGTGTTGCAACTGTCTTTTTACACACTTTGTATGTGACAATACAGTCAGTTTGTTTCAACATACCTGCACAGGATGGAATGCTTTGCGATTTTCGGCATAACATCTCTGAATTTGCTTGTGAAGCTTCTTAACATCCTGTATACAACACAATTTGTTTTTACATAGTCCTTCAGACAGACCACCACAAAATGCTTTACCATGAGCCAGAAGCTAAAGAGAGAAAAAGGAGGCTTTTAACTGGCAAAAGTGACTGCTGACAGAAAGCGGACATCAGACCCTGACAGAAGGAACAGCCTTTGTGAAGGGATTCTGCTGACGTGGAAACATGCATCTTCCACATTTAAACACCTCTACGCATGTGCTTGATTCACACTGTTCAAGGAAACAAACAGAACAAAATCACTGAGATTTAAGTACACATTTAAACATTCAAAATTAATCTCAGGAACCAATGAGATTTGCCATACCACAACACTCAGTCAGTGCTACGTATGCTCTGCATTACAGTCAAAAAGTAGCCAGACGGGCTTTGCAAAAGCTCAAATTCATGCAGTCTTGCAGGACAGTGAATTCAGAGCAGTAGAAAGGCTTAGACACAACGGGCTACACTCATACATGAGGCTGCAAAGTAACACATGTTCCTTGTAGGGGTAAAGCTGTTCTGATCTCAAAATGGCAGATCAAGTGTCTTGACCAATGGCTGGGCACCATAACTGATCTTTCTCATATTTACCTATCCTGTGAACATCTCTCCTTTTTTTTTTTTTAATAATAATCCACTCTAGGATTTTAGAGATGGGCTGAATTGTGCTGTCCTGTCCAAACCACTTCTGGCATACCTAAGAGAAAAAGCTCAGTATCCTCATAATGCTAAGAGTTCTCATTTCCATGGAACCTCTCTACCACTGTTGGGAGCCTTGAACTGATTTCAAAGAAAAAAGTAATTGCATGTGGCACATACAACCTTTCTAGCAAAACCACTTTGAAGCAGAATTGCATACAGCTTCATAGAGAACACGTTGTACAAACTCTTTCTATATTCCTGTTTTACAGAATCAAACCAACTCACCACATCTCCATGAATGTGATCAGAATCTTCAGCAAGCTTACATAAAGGTACACTCTAAACCCTGAAAATGTCTGCAACTGACGCAAACAGTTCTAGGAGTCATTACAATCTGAAAAATGCTAACTATCCACTACTGTCTGCTCTGATATTGCATCAACACTGCAACCAGAGAATCTTCCAACATTTGCATTTGATGGCCAAATTTGATTTACCTTTAGCACCATCAAGTCATCAAAGCTGCAGTCCACAACGAGGCGAAGCGTGCTGGGAACAACTTCCCTTCGCATACGCTTTCTGTCATTCCCTTCATTATTGGTGTCTGATTTTGATTGACGTTCTAATTTTCTCTTCTGGCGTTTTTCTTTTCGTTTCTGCCTACACAAATAACAAACAGATAAATCTTTGATAAAGAGGTGCTGCTGAGGTGCACATTATGCACATAAGAGCAGAGTTCTGTGATAAACACGGATGGCCCATAACAGTGGTAATTTAATTTCTCTCTGTTGCTTGCATCTGTGCCAACAGAACCATGAAACCGATACCCCAATTCTGCTTGTGAAGTTCTGGATATACATACAAAGATAGATATCTGTGATGATTCAGATGAAGACAATGGTGAGAGTTTTGCAGACTTAAAGGTATTCTGAGTCAGGTCTTCTGCCCAGATATGCTTCTTCCCAATAACAGAAGAACACAGCTCACCATTGCCCAAAAACATTTTCACAGGTAAGTCCACGTAACTAACAGTACAGCATTTCATGTGTCAAAAGAGAAAAAAAAAAACAACAAAAAATCAACCCAGTGCTTTGCAAGATCTGCCAGCAACAAGGAAAGGCACAACCCATTCCTGAGATTCCTCCCACAAGCCAATAACATGCAATTTTGAAGCCCTACTCCTATCTGCTTCAAGCTGAGGAACACTTCTACCATGGAGAAAATGCTTACCTTTACAGCTTCTTCTTACTCAGATGGAGCAGGCTGTGACTACTGCTTTAAACCTAGTATGGGAAAAAACCGGTTCAAGAGCCCTGATTTGCTAAAGCTATCTATGTACAGATTCTGCTGACACGTTATGACTGTTACAACAAGCTAGCACACACGATCCTAAGAAAATCATTTTGTGAACCATACCTTCGGAGATCCTTCTGTTCTTCCCACTGTTTTTGCTTCAGTAGTTTCTTCCTTTGCCTCTTGGACATGGGCTCGAGGCATTCTGCTTTGCCTGCGCCTTCCTCCTGTCTTTCTACTTGCCTGTCACACGACTTCACCTTCGCTTCCACCTCAGGTGCATGAGGGGCCATGGTGCTTTCTGCCGGTGCTCCCGATGACATCAGCTTCTGCCTGGCTTACTGACTTGTATCTCATCCGCGTGATAAATAGATCACGAAAAACAATTTTTCTTCTCACCAGCTCTGTAAGACACAAGAGAGCAGCACTAGCAAGCTATTAACAATAAGTTCGGTCAGAACGCCCCCAGGACCTCCCCAGAGGCGCGCTGCAGACGGCGGAAGGGCTCGCACCGGGCCCGCCGGCGGGCGGCCATCTCCCCCTTCCTCCCCGCCCCGCCCCCCAGCTCCCCGCGCGCTCCCTTCAGGGCTAACGGCCGCGGCGCGCGCGGACCCCCGCGTACCCGCGCGCCGCCCCACGCGCCAGGCCTTCGGAGGAGCAACGGCCTCTCGAGCGCGCACGCGCGCGCCCTCCCCGCCCGCCGCGACTTCAAATCCCAGCGGGCTACTGGCGGCCGTCACGTGCTGCTGGCGGTCACCGCCCCCGGGGCGTCGTAGGCGGCGCTGCGTGGTTGTGACTCGTAGAGCCGTAGGACCGCTTGGGTTGGAAGGGAGCTCTGGAGTCATCAAGTTCCAGCCCCCCAGCCGCAGGCGGGGTTGCCAGCCGCTAGTCTAACGGCAGATCGGGCCGCTCAGAGCCCCCCCAGTCCGGCCCTGAAACCGCCCAGGAACGGGGCATCCGCCGCCTCCATGGGCAGCCTGGGCACCTCACCATACGTTCGGTGGAAAACTTCCCCCTGGCATCCAGTCTGAATCTTCCCTCCTTGAGTATGAAGCCGTCCGCCCTTGACCTATGATGCCCTGGGGGATCCGTCGGAAAAGCGCGGCTTCGCGCCCGGGGAGCTGCGTGGGCTCCGCGGAGTAAGGGGAGCAGAATATCAGTAAAACTTGATCGGATGGCTCTGGTGGCACTAGCGAGTTCACACAGAGGGCAGCAGAGTCCTTCTAAGCGCTGCCATCCCTCAGGGCAGATGCGCCTTCCAGCTCCATATCTCCAAATATAAAAGCCCCACCAGCTGGCTCTTCTGCCCTTAGTGCCAAAACTACGGACAGTGCGTTCACGGACTTTGTGAACAACGCTGCCCGGACACAGGAGTTAATGCTGGAGCCTTGGATTATGAGAAAAACACGATTTGGGCAGCCCAATTCTGTATGTCGATTGCGGTTCGCCTCTCGCTAACGAGGTGCATGCAGCAAACAGGAGAGATGCTGCCATCATTTCTTCTCCATGTGCATTCATGTTTGTCTCAGGTTTCGCTGGTTCCAGATATACACACTCTTCCAGTCCTGCTGCTGGTTTCAGGTTTGCTGCGGCTAAATTAAAGTCACAGAACTGTATGGGGTCACTACTGTAAGACGCTGACCTTTAGCTGCTGTCCATGCTGGATATCTGCTGTAATATTTGATTTCATTTGTGATTATTTCCTGCATTACTTTATAAATAACCAGATTTGCATTTGCTTCTGCTCGCATCTATTTAAAAACTCAATTATGTTACTATTAGTATCTAGATTTACACACCAGGTTTGGCCATGCGTCTCCTTGCCCCAGAGCAGAACGAAAGATGTCTTGGGAGCGCTGCTCACTGAGCCCCCAGCACTAGCTGGAAGACAAAGATGGGCTCGGATGCTTTGGTGCACACTGTTTGAGGTGAAAGCCATGAGCGTCACATCATTGATTGTGAAGGGAAGACAAAAACGTTTTATTGACCTCTGAAAAATGCGAGGAAATCTCATTAGTTTTATAAGGTCATATAAAGATATGAGCTTTATTGTTTGGACTCTGGAAAATGTGCAGCAACAGTAATACTTTGACCCTAATACATATGCCAGCATGGCGTGAGGTGTCCATTAAAGGGCTGATCCCACAACCTCTGCCTGTAGTGGACTTTGGTGGGTGCAAGACCTTTTCATGGGTGTCATTTGATGTTAAGGAAGTCACTGCTGATTTAGCCCAGGCATAACTGAGGAGAGGCTCAGGCCTCCCCTTTTCCAGGTATTCTAAGACTACACTAAGTGTGCTTTAAATGCATGTATGTAGTTTTTTAGATATAAATATATACATGCACGTGGACGTACATGACACTGTTTCTCTGCACATACGTGATGGTTAGATACTTAGTTCTGTAACAAGCATATAAATATAAATGATCTGGTCTCTAATATTCTGGTAGTAAGAGAAACCTTTGTTCTTTTCATTTCAGGGAAGACATACATTTCCCATGTCCCAAGAGTGTAAGAGGAGGATTACTTTCCCCCAGATTTCCAACCAACATCACCCCTTTCCAGTGAGTGAAGTGTAAAGGTTCGTTTCCAAAGCAGAATCCGTAGTTCTGTTCTTTTTCTAGCTAGAGCTGTTTTGCACACTGATTGTATCATTTTAAATTTTTTTTCTAAAAATGAACAGAGAGCTTGGGAAGTTTCTTGCTTACCAAATGCAGCAAAAGGATCAGCTGGAGTGCAGAAATGCATACACACACAGGTTACCTAACTCTTACATGCAGCAAAACAATGCACAGAAAAAAGAGCTTAGAATGGGACACAGGGAAACAGCAATATGAAAGCAGTATGTCCATCTGATAACATTTCCTTCTGCAAACTGGGAGAAGGACTTGGCTTATGAATTCAGGGATATACTCAAATTAACAGGGAAAATCTGTCTCTTGGGGCATCCTTAGAGACTGGAAGTGTCTCCTGGAGACCCCCATCTGGTCCGTGTGTGCTCTGGGCTCTGTTTAGACATCTTCACTTGTGTATACATGAGGCTGTGCCTCCAGTCCCTTCAGTTCAGAAGCATCTTGCAGCCTGAGTTGTGGAAGCAGAGTACCTAAAAACCAGGGAGCAGCAGGAGCAAGGCTTGCTTCTATTAATCCCTCCCTGTCTCCTTCCCTCTATGTACACACACACAGAGTGCAGAGAACTTCCAAGGGGCTTCCACCAGGTGTAGAGATATGAAGGAGAGGACGGACCAGTTGTGGCTCTGCTGCTTCTCATCATTGCATGACATTTGCAGCCACTGTACTGGGCTTCTCTGTCAGCACAAGGCAATGAAGGAGGCATTTATGTTTTCCAAGGCTGTTCTCACCTAACAGTCCTTCACTCATACAGAAGACCTGATTACAGAAATGGTATTGCTAGCAGTTAAATACAGCCTGGGGCAGTATTTAGTTGGGATATTTGTAGCTAGCAGCCAGCCAAAAGTCCTAAGGCTGTAATGTAATGACAATGCAAGTAGCACTCTAGCCTATAGTGGAGAAGTCATTTTGTGGCAGGGAGCTATTTACAGGACTGACTGAGCTTGCTGGAGAAGAAAATAAAAATCTCTTGCTAAAATAACCTCTGAAATAGAGAAAGAAAGCATGGTGATGGCTGGTGGGTATCTATCCTTCTTATCCCTACCTTACCCCTACTTAAACATGTAGGAGCAGATCCCTCCCAGTGCAGAAAGAAGCAGGCTTCACTGGCTTGGGGAGAGAGTGTCCTGGCACAGATTTTGGTGGGCAAGGTGTTCTGTGGAACACGTGGGGTTAACACACTGCCACGCAGTTATCTGAGGGACAAGGGTTTCCTTAATGAGCCCTCTAGCAGCAGGACTGACTGTGGGATGGGCTGGGGTTTGCTCTCAGAGGAAATGGGGAAACGTGCTTTAGTTGAGAGATAAACCAAACAAGAGGAAAGGGGAAAATATGGGTGAAAAAAAAAGGCCCTGGTTAGCCCTGTTCAGGATGAAGACAGAGTGGCTGGCTTGTTTCATCTTTTCAGTCTCTAATCTTCTGCTGCAATGAATTAATATAGGGGCTGCTAAAAAAGAGAGTTTCTTTTGTACAATATAAAAGCCAAGGAACTGATATTGCACATCATTCTCCTTAACAGAGCATCATTTTCTTTTTTTTTTATGGCACTGATAAATCCCTAGTACTTCTTCTCCCAGACCCTTACAAAGCATCTGCTTCTGGGATTGCCCATACAGTCATACATGAAGTTGGAGAACAGTAGTGAGAATTCAGCCCCTGGCAGCAGCACACCTTTGGTAAAGCAGAGGAGTGGAGGGACCTCCTGGTTCTGCCAGGTCTGGAGGCTGCCTTCACTGTTCAGCAATGTGGCTGCATGGGCATTTAAAAATGAAAGCTGAGGTAATCAATAAAATGGGTAAAAACCCCTAGTTACCCTAGTTCTTAATAATTAACTGGAAGTCCTTCCATGAACTTAGTACCTGAGTGTGGAATTTGGAATCTGACCTTTACTACATCTAGATAAACAGAGTGACTGGCGCGGCAGCTCCCTCTGCAAGCGCTGCTCCATTGTCAGCAGTTCGCTTCTTGGAGGCTCTCTTTCTTCTTGGAGGCTTTTGCACTTCATGCTGCAGTCAGGAGCTCGGGGCAGTCCAGCATGATTGTTCTTACCGTGCTGTTCCTTTGCATCATTTCCACATATTCAGCCTCTGTTAAAGGTAGGTCAGCCAAGGCGTAACTATCTACAGATGCGTGAACATTTTTACTCAGCTGTACTAGAGTAATGACAAATACCTTTGTTAATTAAAAAGGTTTAGGTGCTGGTAACATTCGTGTCAGCACAAGGGAGGGAAGAGGTGATGTCTTCAGGTGACACAGGCAGTGGTGCAAGCCAGGAAACTGCGGATCTTGACCTTGCTTAGTCAAGAAGCGCTGTGGGGCACCAGCTGGAGGGGGACTATTAGACACACAGAAGTGCTCCAGTGGACCAGAGCCAGGAACTGCTCTGAGCTGTCCAGGTTTCATCTTCTAAGCAGTTGACTCAGCTACCACTGAAGTCAGTAGCAAGCATCCCGTTAATTTCATTGGGAGCTTGGTCTGCAATAAGTCACAGAAACCTGGGTGTTTGCATGGGCCTATGGAGCAGGGCTTTACTCAGGTGTCCTGCATAAAGGTCAAGGACATGAAATCTGGAGACTGCCTGCTCTAGTAGCAGTAGTGTAATGAAGGAGGAAAAGGGCCTTTTGCTGGTGGCTGTGTGTGGACAATCTGACATTAATCTTACAGGAGCAGCGATCTTACAGCATTAGCCAGTGTCTGTTCTTTCAATTGAATGAGAATGTCCTCCACAGGGAGAGGAGAGAAGGAGGGGAGCACTTAGCTGCAAGTTAAACTGTTAAAAAGGTGGGAGAAGTATTCCTATCAGGCACCATGTCTGAGAAAGCATAGAGCAGCAACCTTCCTGCCTGCCTCCAAACTCTTTTATGACAGGAATTATAAAACAGAGAAGTTCACAGGTGGTTCCTCTTGCAGTAGAAAACTCTCACTAAACTGTCAAGTGACATTAATGGCTTGGTACTGATGTGCCACACTTCTGGTGCCTGCTCTTCCCAGCTTCTTGTAACATCAACTAATCAACACTTACTGATATGAAGTTCTTTGTCACTTTGCATCCCCAGTGCAGTGAACAAACATTTGTTCACCAGTTTGCCCTCCATTCAGTTCTGCAAGTTCTCATCTATCTCTTGTGTGGAGAAACTGAGAGCTGAACTACTGGCCTGAAGGCCACTTTCTGCCTCTGTGACAGTGCTCAGATTAGGATAGAGTGTTTTTGCCTTTCTGTGCATTGACCTTTTAGAAATGCTAAAGGAATATTCTTTGAAATCAGCTAGACCAGTACACATGAAACTTTCCTGCTGCAGTTCCAGTTCCAGTTTTCAAGTAAATGGATGGCATTTGGTTTTTGAAGCTATCCAATATCAGAAACAGTGGCAAATATAATTTATGAAGGTAGAGCCAGCTAGTAGTTAGAGACACACATGCTGTGCATGCCGTATGTATTAATAAACGGCACAGGACTTGACAGCTGTCTCTACTCATGCAGTGTAACCTTCTGTTTTATACAGTATCATGATTTAATTATAGAATTGGCATGTTACCCTTAATGACAGACACTTAACGTTACTAGTCAAACTATGTGTTATGCACTCCACCTTGAAAGCATGCACTTCTGACCCCCAAGACAGTGTGGCAGAATGCAGCCTTTATGTCCGCTCCTCCTCCCTCCTCCAGCAGTAAGATGTTTGCCATCAGCAGAAATGCAAATGGCTGTAAGGGCTGCAAGGATCACAGACCTGCTTTAACAGAAAGGGAAAAAGCCTCTGAAGGCAGTATGGATGTTTGGGTTTTTTTAAGATTTACATCAGAAAGTTGTAGTGATAGTCCTTCTTAAATAGTACCAGTGTTTTTCTCATGAAAGATGGCATGAGTATTTAGTAATGCTATTTTAAATACCGGTTCTGGGCACTGACAATGCATTTCTGTCTCTCGGGCACAATTTTACTCCTTGCCTCTCAAAATGACCACTCTATCCAGTTGTCTCTTCTGGCTTCCACATTTCCACTGGGATAACTGCTGACTCCTCGGGGTTGCCTTCAATACTACCTCATCTCTGCTTCTTCCCTTGCCACGATCCACCACAGGCTCATGCTTTGTCATCAGTGAAGCTGGTCTTACAACTGAATGCACCTTCTGCCCAGGGTCCCCGAGCACTGTCTGCATATGGAATGGTGAAAGCTTTCAGAACCTAGTATTGCTCTAGCTCCCAGAAATACACTGGTATTATTTAAGAAGGAATATTGCTACAGCTTTCTGTCACTTTTTCTGTGACACTTGCAAGAAACTGTCTGCCTGTATCCTTTACTCAGCTCTTTCCTTCAGCAGGGAACAGCATATTTATAAATAGGGACAAGCAACTGCTGAAAGAGAGGAAGAAAGAAGAACTGAGTCAAAAAGAAAAAAGGATCAGTGGGGTGAATTGTGGGAGAAGCAAAAGGATATGTGAAAGTTACCTTTAATTGAAAAATGAGAGAGAGAAAAGCATAAACATCCACCATAACTAATTAGACTTATGTCTCTCAGCACCCGGATCAATTTTCTTGGACATACTTTTCCCCCACCCTTTATGCTTAGATAAGACTGTGTCATCCTCTGCCTTTAGAAAGTACCTAGCGGGTTGCGCTTGTCAACCTCAGTCAATACTAAATCACCAGCATTGCCATTTCTGCTGCCTGCAAAGGACATTTCAAAGCAGGAAGCAGCCTGCTCAGAGCTGCTGCAAGGAAGCAGGGCTGTTCCTGAGCTGCCATCCCCTGCACATACTTCTGCTCCCAAAGGCAGCATGGTTTCGGAGGTGATAGGAGTGGGCAAAAGGTGAAGAAAGAAGGCTAGGAAATGGCACAGCATTCTGAAGGGAGGTTTCTATACATCTTTTTCACTTTAAGCAGACCCCCCAAAAATTCAACAGAGATTCATGCCAATCTTAATGCTTTAGCCTCCCAGCAAAATCAGTAGCTGTAGCTTTGAGGTCCCACATGCAAACAGGCTGTTTTCCTTGGGATTGCCAAACTTACTGTGCCACATCTCTGGCTGTCATAAATCCTCAGCCAGTTTAGGTCAAAGCTAACCTTGTCATACTGCTATGACATCAGCGGGAACGGGGCAAAGAAGTGAGCAAACCCATAGAAAAAATGCTTTTTGGATTCTGAGCACTGCAGAATGTATCTGTCCAGACATGTTGGATCTACACTTCTACCTGCCAGGGACTTAAAATCTGACAGTGGAATAAGAAAATGCTTTGGTTTTCTTTTTTACTGACACAGTGATTTGAAACTTACTTAGCAGAGTCAGATAAAACACTGAGGACCATGACACAAATCAAGATAGCCTGCTTATTCTCTGCAAGGGACTTTGAACACACTGATTATGTTACAGCACACTTGAGAATTTGTCCAAGATGCTGTCGTGAATTTTTCTTCCTTTTTTTTTTTCTTTTTTCTGTACTTGTCATAAGACTGAGATGCAGCTCTCTGAGGATAATACTTGGCTTTTCTTTGATTAATTTTGTTGTAAAGTTTTTCTTTCTTCTTGATACCTACTGAACACCATAAAAAATTCTTGGTGGTTTCAGCGGTGCAGCATTTGGGTGCAAGAGGCTAGTTCTGTGACACTTACAGATAACACCTAAGGTCACTGCATGTGTATTTGCTTTGCGGATGTAACAGCACTTTGTGTACAGCCAGCTTCTCCTCCATTCCCTTCCCTCTACAAACTGAGTTCATCAGTTTGTCTTGTGTGGAAGAGACCTTTGTAGCCATCCACAGCAGAGGCGGAAGCCCCTGAAAACAGTGAAAAGGAGTATCTCATATATCCTATTTAGCACAGTCTTTGAAGGGTGTTGAAGAAAAAATTGATTTTCCTTAGCCACATTCCTGGGACACAATCTCAGTGCCTATACCTTGAGGCTAAAGTTGTAGTGCTACACGTTCCTTGCAGAGCTGTGCATGAGAGAAGAGAAAATAAGATAAGAAAGGACACAGGACACTATAAGTAAATTTATAAAAGAAAAGAAAAATAAGACATTTGCTTGCTGCAGGCTTCATTTACACTAACAGCACTGAAACTGAATCCCTGGGAAACAGGTTCTCCAATTTGTTACTAATGCAGGTGTACACTAGGTATACAACTTGCATTTATGCTGGATTTTGGCTTTTTGTATCCCCTAAAATACATCACTTAACAGCAGAATCACAGCTACAGGCATGGTAATTTATTTTAAAGAAAAAGGTATTAACTACTATATGTAAATAATATATTTTTCCCTTGTCTCTATTATATTTATATCATCCCTGGGCAAACCTGTCAACTGAAAGATTCCCATTAAATGTGCTAGTGGTGCAGAGAACAGTTTCTATTGACTCCAACAAGTGATTTCAGTACATCTCAAATTGTAAGCACACAAATTGCTTGAGTAATTAAGACATTTTGATTTACAAGTAATTTTGCATTCATTTCTTATGATAACATAGCCAAAGGAAAGAGTCTGATTCTCTTTTACCTATATAAGTGTATAGCTAAGCCAAAGGATTTTGTGGATATTCTTACCTTGTATACATAAAATTAGTGTCAATTTAAGAAAAAACAACTGTTCTGGTGGGACGATCTCTAAGCAAGGGGATCAAAATGCCCCATACTCTTTTGTTGATAATTGCATTTTAAATTTTTCTAAGGGTATTTATTAAACAGAATTCAGATGTCATTATGTACTAGTCATTTCTAAAACAATTTTGTTTTCCTTTTCAAACAGGGCACACTACTGGACCAAGCTTAAGTAATGATAGATTATATAAATTTGCTTACACTGCTGAAGTCTATGTTGATCGGGCTAAAGCATCCCTGCAGAAAAGTGCAGGCTACCGGTTTTCTGCTGGTGTAGATGTCAACATCTTATGGAGAAATCCTGAAAATGATGATGACCAGTTGATCAAAGTTATGGTAATGAATACCATTACATAACTTAGAACATGCCTAACCTTTCCTGCCTCTATCTAATTGTTAATCTAATCTTGAAAAACTTGTTTTCAGAAGATGAGCTAAATCTTTTATTCTCCCATGTTCTCATCAACTAAAAGCAGCTTCTCCATTTAGCTGTTTCTTGTAGAGTAAGACTTAACAAGAATGTATCTAGCTTCCACAGCCAGAACTTCAGAAACTTCACAAACTTCTCCTGTGTTTTGAAACTGCTTCAAACAGCTTCTGTAACTTCAAACAGCTTTTGTACAAGCACCTATGTGAGGGGCAATATGCTGAAATCCTCAGATCTAGCTACAAATCATTACATTCACTAAATATAGACTGGTTTTGGTGTTTAGGTTTGAAAAGATTTACTTTATTCAGCCTACCCTAGGCCAATACTAGTCTGTTCTCTACATGAATTTTCTCTCTTTTACTTTGCTAGATAAGAAATGTCCAAGTAGAAAATGTGAATGAACGTCCATCTGATAAAAACATCTTCAAAGGAAAAAGCACAGAGAAAATCATCGGGAAAGAATATCTGGAAGCTCTACAGAGGCCCATGGTGCTTGAGTTAGCCCGTGGAAAAGTAAGACCTTGTTTTTCAGAGTTCATATGCAAACACTAGGACACCTTGGGCAAATCTCTTGTTACAGGCTTGGAGAACTCACTATCCTCTCAGTGTTCTTGACATGCCACTGTGTCCTATCTTTCTGTACAAAGTAGAGTCATTTGAAACATACTATAATTCACCTGCACAAGAGGCCCTTAAAGCCTAAGCCTCTTGTGCATTGAGAACACTATGTATGTAAGTAAACAGTATTTTGGCCACAGATATACGGGTAATACACAGATATATGCACAGTTGCTGTGCAGGTTTTTTCTGTCTTCAGTGGATTTTATCCAAGTCCTGAAGACAGAAATGATAATGCAATATGTAAAGAGGGAGGTAGTACCAAGTCTATGAGGAGTGGTGTTAATTTCTTTAAACCCTTAACAGATATCTTAGCCTGACTGCTTTACCTCTCTGGCTTGCTTACTGACTTCATTGTCACCTGCAATTTCAATGTTCCCAAATTAGTGAGCTCGATTCTGAAAGAACTGCAAACACTCATGTTGTCTCTGTGCTAGGAAACACACTCCAAAAATCAAAAGGAAAAGAGTGTGTGCAAGTGCATTTCAGCTGGTGCCTAGGTTTTACAGCCTGCCCTGGAAGAGCACTGAGGCAGACTCTCCTTGCTGGAGTGCCCAATTTAAATTGCAATTCTCAGCATTCCAGCCTTGTCCAGAAAGAGAATCATGCAAAATCCCCACATTTTTTTTCCTGTGGAACCATTCCCTTGTCGCCTTGCACTCTGGGCAGTGAGAATCAAGGTTTGACTAACAGCTCCTCTTGCCAGCTCTCTATGCTCCTCCACCCTCCTGTTGCTTGTGGCCTGGAGCATTAAGACAACAGTCCTGCTCTCCCCTCAGCAGCCTGAGTCAGTGGGACTCAGTTGGTAGAGGAACAGTGAGAAAGCAGGAAGGCTTAATGCTCCCTTTTGCTTCTGTGGAGCACAGTGAGGGATGTGACACTCTATCCCAACAGGATCTTTACCTCTTGCTGTAAATAGGCACTGAGTACATATTCTGGCCACTAGCTCAGCCTACTGCATTGCAGTTGCTATCAAGTCTACTCAGTAACTTTCAGACTCAGCCTTGTCATCAGTTTTACACAACAGAAAAAGAAACAGGAAAGCACTGGCTCCCAACTGTACACATTCCTGCAGGAAGGCTGAGGTGTCCAAAGAGCACAGTTACAATATATCTGCTCTCAGAGCATTGCAAATACATGGATAGAAGCAGTTATTTGCTAAAACTGAGACATAGTGTTAAAAACTTGGGATTTTTCTCAATAATAGGGACCGTACACTCCTTTTATGATTTTTCTGTGCTGTGATACTTTCATCCTTGGCACAGTGATTTCACTTTCCAGGGTTGCCCTGAGATAACACGCTGACTTGACTTACAGTTCCTGAAAAAGTGCACTTTTTAAAAGCACCTTGAATGCAAAGTGGAGGTGCAAAGTCTTTCATTGCCAAAGGGGAGGCTCAAGCACAACAGTTGATCCCTGGAGTTCAAAGGTTGTGATGTGTTTGACACGTCATTTAAGTGATTCTGTGATTTATCTATGATTCATTCTGTTTTTCTGCAGCCTGTGATTAAAGTGCAGTAGATACTGTATGCAGGTGAGGAGGGATTATCTGAGCTTAATGAAGAAAAATGAGTAACTTTTAAAACTATGTAGCATTTTTCACCTTAATTCCAATTTTTTCACAGCACTGAAACTGTATTTAGGTACAGCTGAAGGCTTAAAAAATCTTTGTACTCTTATCATCAGGCTCTGTAACCTCTGCTTATTTACAACAACAGGTCCAAATTCAGCTTCCCAATTGGAAGAAGTGAAGATGTTGTTTCTTTAAATGGAAAGGGTTTGAACTACTTATTTCTCATTTAACTGCATTTGTTACATACTTGTTTTTTATTCCTACAGGTCCAAAACTTCTACTCATATGAAAATGAACCTGGTTTTACTCAAAATCTTAAGAGAGGTCTGGCTAGCCTTTTCCAGCTACAGATGCACTCTGGTAGTGTTCGTGAGGTATGGTGCTATATCTAGCAAGATAATCATCAGGAAAACAGACAGAGCCCACTCTGATCTAAAAAGCAGCACTGAGGCTTCAACTGGCTTCAGAAGGAATGAAGTGTGGCAGAAACCAGCCCTTTGACTGTATTTGAGGTTGGAGATAAAAAGACAATCTGGTGATGCAAGCTAAGTCGCTGCAAGAAGCTTAAAGAATTGATTAAATCCTTTTGATTTTAAGTATTTTTCTCAATTTAGTAGAATGCGGACAGAAAACAACTTAAAAAAAAAAATTAAAAAAGCAGTCTTTATTTACATTCAAAACTGAGACATAAACTCAGACCCCAAAGCACAGCATCTCATGTATGAGATGCCAACAGTGTAGAAAATTGTTCATTTTTGGAAGGAGTTCTGGAATCCAAAAGAGAAATTCAGGAAATTGTCCTACTCTAACTCTTTTTTTTTTTTTTTCCCCAAGGTGGACATATCTGGGCAATGCAATGTTACTTACCAAGTGCGGCAAAATCAAGTGACTAAAATAAAAGCTCTGGACTCCTGTGAAATAGAAAAAACAGGGTTTACCAGCCACAACCAGGTACAATTTCTTTAATAAGATAAAATCCTTTCTGCCTATTTTAAATATATCCTTATTAGCTATTTCCCATATTTCAAAAGGCCTTTCTTGGCATTACTGAAAACAAATACTACATATACATTTGGGGTACTCCTAGAACAAGTTTCATATGTAATACCCACACGGAGAAAGGAAAGTGATTCTCTTGTTTAAACCACCTTGGCTCAGTTGGTACTGAGTCCAGCAAACATGTTCACGTGGTTTTTGGACAAACAGTGATAATTGTAACACAGCTGCTACATCATAGCATTCTGCTTACACAATAAATGCTTACACAGTAAGTGCTGCCCTGGCTCCTGAGTGGACTCCTGCTGTGTGTGGGGGGGAGTAAATCCAGGTAAAATACAGATGTGCTGCCGAGGTGCCTAAAGCCCTACTACGGCCTTAATGATCCCTCCCTATTAGAATTGCCTTTCTGAAGAGGTTACTACTGAGTACAAGCTGAACACATGCTGAGGGCATTGGGATTCTCTGTGTGAGAAGCTAACCCTCCTCAGCTCAGAAAAATCTGAATGTAACATATGCTCTGTTTATAAACTAGCTTAACACAGTGACAGAATTCCTGATTTTCACACTTGCCATGAAGACTTCTAATAGTTTACAAACACATCAAACAAAACTACTCATTGTGCTGCCCAGGTATGAATATGGCAATCTCATTGATAAGTGATTTTCCTAGAATAGCTTCTGATATTTTTTGGAGTATATTTTCAACTAAAGGTATGACGGGGCATTTTCCCAGCCACAGCCTGTTTCACAGCTTCCTACCCTCCACCCTTTTTCTTTCTCATATTGATTTTGAAACACATGGTGACAAAATGAGTGACTTGTGGCAGAGGGAATTTGTGAAAACCTGGGAGTTCCTTGTTTGCAGTATTAGCTTGAGATGTAATCAGCCCATATGTACCTAGTTCATCTTGCTATATTTCATCACGTACTTTGCTGTGATTTGGAACTGTGAGAACTTCTCCTAGTCTGCTGTTTATTTACCAGCCTTCCTTCTGGTTTACTTTTTAATTACTTTCAGATTTTAGACGTCAGCACAAAAGCCACATCTGCCACAATTTATGTGCTGGAAGACAGTTTCATTAAATCCATTAAGGCAGAAGAGAATTATGTTTTCCTTCTGAATTCCCGACGAAAAACAGGTGCCAAAATAGTTTCAAAGTAAGTTGGGAAATTTGACTGTCACTGGTGGTAATAGGATTTATGGTTCAAGTCAGGTTACATATGTTTGTCTCGCAGCTTTAAGATCTAAGGCTCTGAACTCTTTGGGTAGAATTTAGATCTCTTTTGTCTTCTTATGGTACCTAGTCCGACTTTGATTAAAGGCTCTCCCATACTGCAGATAACAAATAATGGCACCCATAAAAAATGAATTAAAGCAGCTGAAACTGGCCACAACACTTTTAAAAACACATTACTTCTGTGGGAGTTCTGTTTCTGCATCCTCTTATTGCTAGAAAATACTCCAGGTGGATCTTCATTTCTATTATGTCAAAGTTCATAAGGATAGAAAAAAAAAAACTGCATAGAAAGGAAGCAGTAGTGAAAGCTAGATCTGTGTCTGACCCCAGATTCTAAAACACTGAAAGTTTGGAGCTAGTCATATAAGAGAAATTATTTAGGTACCTCCTTAGCATTATGCTATTAAAAAACAAACAAAGAAAAAAACCCCAAAACATTCAAAACTCCTCTTTTCAGATCTTGTTGTAAACAAATATATGAAATATTTCATTAATGTGTATTAATCTGTATGGTTTACCAGAAACTATTGATCCATGCTTCAGAAAGTTTGTTGTTCAAGTATTTTATGGCACATTTCTTTAGCAAGAATCCTACCAGTATTAGACATTTCTGTTACCTTAAAAAAGCCATAGACTTTACATAACTTGATCATTTTAAAGTGAGTCTGAAAACTCTGTGTCCTGTATTTTTGGTCTGTGAAGACTTCTGTTTGTTCATTTTCTCTACATAAGATTTCTGCATTTCTTCAAAATGTTTAAGTTCTAATGGTGTTTTCAATGTATGGATGCATAGGCAGAGACTGGAACTGCAATCAGCAGAAGCTGGCCCTGGACTGATTGCTGGGAAGCATGTTGCTGGTGTTATCAAGACTTTGGACTCCAGTTACGTTTCCGTGCCACTAGTAGCAGAGACAGTCAAGTCTGAATGCAAGAAGTGTCCTTCAGTAAGTAAATACAGACTTGTAGGATTTCAAGGTGGTTAATTGAGCAGAACAAGAGGAGAATAGAAGTTTCTGTCCAAGTAGTCCACTAGAAGAGGTAACCCAGGGCAGGGAGCACTGTAGTGATGCAATGGTGCTCCACCACGTGAGGGTATTTTAAAATACCCTCTAAAAATACCAGCCTTCTTGCTATCTTTCAAAGATTAAGTGCAGTGTTTCTCAGACTACTAGGATATGCAACACTCTCCTGTTTTATTTCGTCTTTGCCAAACTTGAGCTGGCAGAAACTTATTTCCTCTGGTTAATGGGATGGGAAATGACTACAAAGACGGGTGACTAGTGTTTATAGATAGTTCTCTGCTCATAGAAATTGAAGGTAGCCACCTATTCCTTAGGCAGGGACTATATCTGCCTATTTTAACTGCTTGACCCTAAAGGAAGTCTTTTATTTAAAATAATTTACAGGCACTTTATAAATATTTTTATATTTAAAAAATATATTGGGGCTTTAGTATTCTCAACAAGTTCAATACTCTTCTCATCTCTATCAGCATGAAAAAAAAAAAACCCTAACAAAAAAGCAACCAAACTAAACTCCCAATTTTTTCATACCTAAACATTTAAATCCACTAAAAGCTTTGTACTTCAAGAACCTTTTTCATGCATCATCTTTTGTTTTACTGGAATAAATTATTAATCATAAACACTAACATGAATTGCTACAGTGATTGTTAGCAAATGGTTTTGACACTATTATCATTGTGGAATGAGTTTAGCAGTGAATGGGAGTACTGAATTAAAGTCTGTCAATTTTTGATATGCAAGATAAGGCTTCTGTTCAGCGCATATAACGTTGATCCTCAATTCCTTGTGAGAGCAAAAACCTTACTATATTGGAACTAGCTATTTGGGAGTAAAATTGCACTGCAAGAATTTATCTTGTCTAAAGCTTGCAGAGTCGTGGAGAAGATTAAAAAATAGATCAGTGAAAACGAAATAGTAAGTGATGCTGCATGCGTGCTGAAGCAGTTCTGAGTAGGGAACATCATGGGGTCTTAAACAGAGCAGGGACAGGTGCTCTTCCCCAGATTCTGCCCATCAGGGTTTGTGCTGTCCAGTTTGTCACTTGGAACTCTGTTTGTCATAATGATTATAGAGATAATTATCCAGACCAAGATAATAAACAGAGGGTATAATTCCAGACCACTGCCTGAGGACTGAGCTATAAACCTAATGGCACGATGAGAATGAAGTCTTGCTTTCTCACTGTATTTTACAGTAACTGCTATGAAAAGATGGGGTCTATAAACAGAATGCTGTATCCAAAGCAGCAGCATAACATTTGGTGCTTATATATCATAGTATACATTAATGCATGTTGACATGACACGTCCTGCAGATTTATGTTTTCATTACCATTTTCAAATCGTAACAAGTCTTGTCTCTAGTTATATGAATTTAGTAAAATAGCCATTACTCTCCCCACTGCACAGGTGGCAGCGCCAACTTCTGTGAGATTAATACCAACATCTCTATTTAAGTTTAGACCTAGATTTAAATTTAGACATCATCATAAAGCATGCTCTTTTCAGAAGAGTTCATGGCTCCTAAAAATTTCTTTATGCTCATGGTTCCTACAAGAAACAGGTGCTAGCCCCTTCTGCAATGGAGATTATTTTTGTTCTGTTTTGTGTTGACAACCTTTGAATAGTTTGGCTTGGGGCTGTGTGTGCTTAGGCCCACAGGATAAGCCATGCAGTAGTTGACATGAGAAGCTGCTTCTCACTGCTCAAGTAATTAATGTAAAGAAGCAACATATGCATTTGGAGTGTTCCCTTGTCTACTTGACATTATTTTTAGTAGAAGGAAGAATTGCTGGCAATTCGTGATGAAGGTCTAAATACCAACCCAGTTGCTCATTATGAGCATCTCTATGCCATGCGCAAGGAGTAGAGACACATTGTTTACAGTCAGCTCCAGATGCACATCACAGCACCCTGCTGGACGGAGCACATCCTGCAAAAGGCAGGCTGATGAGTTTAGATGCAGCACTGCAGGGATGCTGCTAACAACCGACATAGCTGTGGCGTACCATATGGTCTCAATGGTTGGCCCCAACTAACCTGAGGGAACTTTGCATAGGCTGGTAAGACACTGGCAGTCAAAATCAAGTCTTTCTCAATTTATGGCATCTCTGCTTGGCTTGAGTTTTCCAAGAGTGCCCATTACTGCTGTGATTTGATCAGAGAAAATCCAATTCCTGTCTGAGCTTTGGTAGATGTATGCACATGATGTGTGCATCTGAGCCTGAATCTCTGGCTTATTCAATCCAAACAGCTTGACATTCACAACAGGAAAACAAAGTCCCTTGTTAACTTCAGCTGTGGTTGTTGTTTTTTAAAGTCATGGTCACTTCAGGAAAAGGCAGCTGCTCCTTGTAGCAGTTGAGCAGTTAGAGAATCCCTAAAAGAAGACTAGGTCTCCTAAAAGAAGACTAGGTCTCCTAAAAGAAGACTAGGTCTCCTAAAAGAAGACTAGGTCTCCTAAAAGAAGACTAGGTCTCCTGCCTTGTGTTCCTGAGCTAAGGACTAAGCAAACTAAGAGCAGCCAAAAGAACTGAGCTCTGTACATAAAAAAAAAAATATGGAATTAATGATGTTAGAGAAATTTTGCTGGGTGATGGTGCAACTTCAGCAGAGAAAATAGAAAGTGCCCCCATATGTTTATCCAATTTCAGCTTATAATAGCCACACTGACCTTGGTGCTAAGCACTAATGACCAGTTGAGGTTAACAGACCCATCTGTGCCTCAGAACATGATCTCCTCCCAGCTGGTTATTAATCTCCAGGAAATATCTTATGTCTCAATCACTGTTGCCTAATTATTGTTTGTTACAGTTGATGGCAATTGCACTCTGTACTGCTGGAACTCCTGTTTGATGGTGGGTTCAAGTGTTATTGCCTAATACAAAACCCATGAAGAGGGGAAGTATTTTAGAGAAGGTCACATGGGTGCTAGTGTTATTTCCCACTCAGGAACACTGCAGTAAACACTCCTACAGAGAACAGCTGAGTTTTCACCAAGGAACGTTCTCGATAATTTGAGATAATGGAGGCACAGGCAAGTGAGAGAGGAAAGGTCAGAATACCTGCACCAGTTTCTTATGCGAGTGCAGCTGGAAGGACAGATACAGGTCCTTTGGTACCGTATTGGCTTATGCAAGTCAGAAACATAACTGGCGACAACAGACAAGGAGAAGGCTAAGGTACTCAACACCTTTTTTGCCTCAGTCTTCTCTGCTAACTGCTCACACAGCCCTTGAACGATTGGTTTGGAAGGAGGGGACTGGAGAAGCAATGTTCCTTGCGCTGTGAGCAAAGATCAGATTTGCTCACCAAGACACTCTCAATGATATTTGAAAAGTCATGACAATCAGGTGAAGTCCCTGGACTGGAAAAAAGGCAACATCACATCTGTTTTTAAGAAAAATAAAGAGGATGACCCTGGGAACTACTGACTTGTCAGTCTCACATCTTGCCAGGAAAGGTCATGGAGCAGATCCTCCTGGAAGCTGTGCTAAGGCAGATAGAAGGCAGGGAGGTGATATGGAAGAAGCAGCATGGCTCCACCAAGGGCAAGTCCTGCTTGACCAACCTAGTGGCCTTCTATGATGGTGTCACTGCATCAACGGACAAGGGAAGAGCTACTGATGTCATCTATCTGGACTTCAGTAAGGCCTTTCATGTGGTAGCCCACAGTATCCTTCTTTCCAAATCTGAAAGATATGAATTTGATGGGTGGACTGTTTGATGGACAAAGAACTGCCTGCGGGATCGAGTCCAGAGAGGGTGGAAAATGTCTCAGTGTCTGGATGAAGATCACTGATTCCAGTGAATTTATAAATGCCATCAACAGTGCACTCTCAACAAGTTTGCAGATGACACCAAGCTGTGCGAGGTGGTTGACACGCCAGGGGGTCAGGATACCATGCAGAGGGACCTAGACAGGATTGAGCAGCAGGCCCAGGAGAACCTCATAAGATTCAACAAATGTAAGTGCAAGGTCTGCACTTGGGCCAAGGCAACACCCTCTATCAATACAAGCTGGGGAATGAAAGGATTGAGCACAGCCCTGCCAAAAAGAACTTGGGGGTATTGGTAGATGGCATGCTGGACATGAGCCAGCAGTGTGCCCTTGCAGCTCAGAAAGCCAACCGTAGCCTGGGCTGCATCAAAAGAAGCATGGCCAGCAGCTTGAGGAAGGTGATCCTGCCCCTCTACTCTGTGCTGGTGAGGTTTCACCTGCAGTACTGCATCCAGATGTGGAGTCTTCAGCATGGAATAGACATGAACATAGTGGAACACATCCAGAGGAGGGCTACAGAAGTGATCCAAGGGACAAAACGCCTTTCCTACAAGACAGGCTCAGAGAGCTGGAGCTGTTCAGCCTGGAGAAGAGAAGGCTTCAAGATGACCTAATAGTGGCCTTTTAGTACTAAAAGAGAGCTCCAAGAAAGAAGGGGACAGACTCTTTAGCATGGTCTGCGGTGATGGAACAAGAGAAAACAGTTTCAAAATAAAAGAGGAGAGATTTGGACTGGATATAAGGAAAAAGTCTTTTACAGTGAGGATGGTGAGGCAGTGGAACAGGTTGCCCAGAAATGTGGTAGAAGCCCTGTCCCTGGAGACACTGAGGGCAAGGCTGGATCAGGCTCTGAGCAACCTGACTGAGCAGTGGATGTCCCTATTCTTTGCAGGAGAGTTGGACTACACAACCTATACAGATCCCTTCAAAATCTATGGATTCTATGATTCTGTGTAGCATAAGGAATAAATATAGGAACAACATACAAAGAAGCAGATACTTGTTCTAGTATCTTTTTTTCCTACCATTTTGTACACTTACCACAAATCCTTTCATATCTTATGCAGTTTTTATGAATAAGAAACTGAAATGACTTATGGGACATTTACTCCTGCTCCACACAAATCACTTCAGAAATTACTATGTTGTAACAAAATATGATTAACTTATAAGATGGGAATTGTCCATCTCCTACTTCAGAAAAACTGACGTAAAAGAAAACGGTAACAAAAGACAAACATCATACATATAAGAAAACACAGTAAATTTACAAAGGAAAAAAAAGTCATCTTATTCCAATGACAGTCTAAATAATCACATTTTGTTCCAAAATGTGGATTGCACTGAGAGATTTGACAAAATATGAATTATTTTGCAGCTTTCGGAACACTGGAAAAGCATCAAAGAACACATGCATCCTGAAAAACTTTCCAAAGCTGAAGCAGCAAGAAGTTTTCTATCCTTCATTCAGAACACCAGAAAAGCTACAAAAGAGGAGATACTTCAGATTATTAAAACCGAAAATAAAGAACTCCTGTAAGTCATCGTGAATAAGCTTTCAAAGTGTTTAAGTTACTTAAACCTGCAGAAGAGCAAGTTGCATGCAAACAAGTTTAGTTCTGGTAATTTCCTAAGAATACAAAAAACAGTATTCAGTACCATCTACAGGAAAATAAGAGTTTTTTTGTTTGCTTGTTTTAAATCTGTACTATTTGGCCACTAAGAGTATAACTAAAACGCAGGGCAAACGTGCTTTGTAGCTTAGCCTTCAGTTTCTCATCCCTGTTGCTAGTTCTGGAACACACTCTGATTTGTTCTTGGCTTTCCGGTTGGTTGCCTTCACATGCAAATACACCAGAGAAGGGGGTGGTTCATTCCTGGATACTGTCCTCAGATTGGAGTTTGTGTGTGACCAGCATGTGCATTTAAACTTGGGAGCTGAAAATCATTTCTGAGTACCACTGCACATTCTGCATCTTTCAAGCAAATCATAGCAGTTTACAACAGAAATAATAAACCTGTGAGTAACTCAGGAAGCATAGAAGGTTGCGTAGAAGCCTGTTCTTCTTAAGTTGCTGATCATTTCAGTTGAAATAAAACACTTTTTTTTCCTGATTTATACCCTTATCCTGTATTTGCATGGATATTTTTATCCATGGATATCAGTACTTTCTGGAGTCTATCTGCTATTTTAATATGGAAGCATTCAGGGACATAATTTTTGCTGGAAATTGTAACAAATTCTGTATCTTACCTGGAATGAACAGATCTGTCAGCACATTAACTTATTTCCATATGCAGCAAAGTCCTTTCAGTATTTTCTAGGTCATTATAATGATATGTTAATTTTCACATCTTTATAGTCCACAGATAGTGGATGCCATAACCTCTGCTCAGACACCAGCATCACTGGAAGCCATACTAGAGTTTCTTGACTTTAAGGATGCCAGCACTTCCATCCTGCAGGAGCGATTCCTATATGCCTGTGGATTTGCTTCTCACCCCAGTGAAATGCTCCTGAGAACTTTAACTGTAAGTCAAGTGTCAAAACAAATACAGTGAAGTTATTACTTTTGAGCCTCATCCCTGTCAAAGGGAGAAGGGAAGGAAAAAGGACTGCTTCCAGTTTTCCTCATTACCCCTTCCAGGGTTTCCTTGAAGCGTACCAGGAACATATATCCCAGAAACACATACAATTTGTAAAATCCAGACAAAAAGTCAGTTTACTTTGAAAATATTACCAGCATCTACTACCTGGAAAACAAACATTATTCTGAGTGTTAACAGAACAATTAGAAATGAAAAGCCTAACAAAGTCCTGCCATCATTTAACATTCCTTTTCTAAAAATCAAAACAAAACAAAGCCTCAAAGTGAATTCTGCTATTTGAGACACTAAATGCACCTGAAGGGAAAAAGGGCACTCGGTTATTATATGTAATGACAGTCCAGTGCTCTACTTAGCCTGAGCCCAGGACATTAGTGATCGCTGCCTCTGTATTGTACTAATGCCCACAGTCAGCCTGCTGTAGAATGCGTCATGTGGTTCATACTTCGACAGTGGGACTAACAGTGTTGCTTTTGCCTAACAGTCAAAGCTCAAGGGTGATATTGCGAATGAAGAAATCAGAGAAACTCTTGTCATTGTCATGGGAGCACTCATCCGAAAGCTGTGTGACAGAGAAGGCTGCAAGCTTCCGGTAAATATTTGCTGTTCGCTGTTGGCTGAATTCTGGTCTGCAGCACCCATGAACAAACCTTGCCAATGTTTTGAGCATGGGAGAGCACGAGGGACACATGCAGCATATTCCTCCCTGTTTTAAATTAAGCCCATGAATTCCTGAGTTTAAGAAACAGAGTAATTTTTTTAACCATCTGTTTTACCAGCTTTTTACTTTAATCCAATATTTTCCAATTCCTGTGGATTATTCTCAATTTTCCCTTGTTTAACAGAACTCTTCCTCTCTGCCCAGCCTGTCAGTCCTGCTGCTCCTGTTTTCAGGGGGAAGGAGGTGGAATTATGACAACCACTTAAACATGCTGTTTATTTTCTTTAGGCTGTTGTAGAAGCCAAGAAGTTGATTCTCGGTAGGTTGGAAAAGCCTAAGAAAGATGACAATGTGAGGATGTACCTGTTGGCACTGAAGAACGCACTCCTTCCTGAAGCAATTCCACTGCTTCTGAAGTATGCAGAGTCAGAAGAAGGGCACATCAGCAATGCTGCTGTTACCACCTTACAGAGATACGATCCTTCTTTTCTCACCAATGAGGTAAGGAAATATACTGCCCAAGAAAAGAAGCACAGGAGACTGTATTAATGAAAGTATAACTAAACAGAATACATTTGTCAGTCTCACTCTTAAAGATGACAACACGTATGGTTTTCTTCACTGGGAAATTATTACATGTGCTTCATTTCTAGCCAGAAAACTCCATGCATTTTTGTTTGCTAAAACCCAGCTGGCAGCCTAGCAGTGTTACTTAACCTTTGGTTCCAGAGTCAGATGCAACCATTAAAGGTGGGAGGAAATCTGCAGTGCAAATTGGAGTTTCCTTTGCAAGGGAGCTGCCTCCTCTGTGACATGCAGGAGACATTAGAGACAGATAGGAACATGTGTAACCCCCGCTCCTGTGCTTTCACATTACCCAGGAGAATAGATGATCTGTGAAGAGTGAAATAGCTGCAGCCCAAAATGGTAAGAGAGACAATTTAAAATAGCAGAGGTCCTGCTTCTGCTGCATTACCCTGCAGCCCATTTCATATCTGCTGGAATTGTCAGGGTGCTGCCCAGGCATTGCACTTATCAGAGGCCACATGGCTCTCCGTGTAACAAAGATGACTCAAACTTGTCAGGGATGTGGGCCCACCACAAGTGCAAAGTGAACATTGCAGAATTTTTTTTTTTATTTTAATGTATCTTTCCTTAACAGTTAAGTAAGTCTTTCTCTGGATCTTATTACTGACATAGCATTTTGATCTTAGTACTCCCATTTATTTACAGTCCTGCTGTCATAGTGTGGAAGACTGTATTTGAACTGCATCTGAGAGAGCATAGCAGATATCCACTTCTCCAATTGGTCACTGAGCTGAACATGTCTCATGCATTCCAAAAGGGCCATGGAGAGCTGAAAATATATCCTAATATATTAGCCTTAGCTATAAACAAAGCTTAAGATGATATTCTAAATGAGATTCTAAGCATTACTTTGCCCAGTCATCAATGCGAGTTCAGCACTGACTGAACAATCTACTTCCTCCCCAGGTGAGGAAAACAATGAATAGGATATACCACCAGAATCGTAAAGTCCATGAAAAGACAGTGCGAACCACTGCAGCTGCTATCATCTTGAACAGTAACCCATCCTACATGGAAGTGAAAAACATCCTGCTCTCCATAGGTGAACTGCCTCTGGAAATGAACAAGTACATGCTCTCCATAATCCAAGATATACTTCAGCTTGAAAAGCCTTCAAGGTACATTAAATTCTGTTTAAATAAATACATCGATTTCTTACATTTTTGCAGACACGTGAAAAACACAGGTTCTTATTAGTTACTCCTGTAAAATTTAAAGGCAGCATAAGAGAATGCTTGACGTTTGTGCCACTTTTAGAATGAATATTTCAGAATAAACTTGTGCATTTCAATGACATTAACAGCTAGTTCCATTTTCAGAGGTACAAATTAGAATTAGGCATCTAACTTGCATCGCTGTAGGAAACTTCTCCTGTTGATTGAAATTTTGTCCATTTGGTGGGACTCTTGCTTTTGGATTTTCAAGAACCAATGAACAAGAAAAGATATAAACAAAGTAGTAGACAGAAAATAATCAAAATATCTCTTCTGCTCAACAATATTAATTTCCAAGGAAGACCTTCATTTGCTTGTCTTTCTATCTATGACTGCAGGAGTAGCTCAAATTGGAGAAGAATCTCTGAGTTAGGAGAGACTTAGAGGCATAAGTTTAATTTCCTTTCATGGGAAAATGAGAGAGTGAATTTCCCAGTACGAAAGACGCTTTCTTAGATTTTATGTTTCTAAAAAGTAGTAGTATATTGTTAGAGTTATCATATCATTGTTGTGTCTATGTTCTTATTTGTTCATCTGTTTGTTTCAAAATACTACAGCAAAACAGTTCGGAAAGTTCTGAAGGACATGCGTACTCATAATTATGAGCGCTTCTCCAAGCCAGGATCTTCCTCTGCTTACTCTGGCTATATTACACGTATGTAACCAGGAAACTGTCTTATAACCCTGCTTTTATTCCCAAACATCTGATTAATCCACTAGTTTAGTCACAGGTAGCTTCTTTCTTTTTTACTTAAGGTGGTCCTGATATATCATCCACATACAGCCTAGACATCCTCTATTCAGGCTCTGGCATTTTAAGAAGAAGCAACTTGAACATCCATGCTTTTGACAGAAATGCTCAACTTCATGCTGGACAGGTAACAGCCACACTGCACTAAAAAAAATAAGCCCATATGTGGGCTTCTTCTTAGAACTCCTTAATTCAGTTAACGCTTAAGACTATAAAGTTTGCTGCAATGGCCAGATAACAGTCCACTAAAGGGAAAAAAAATTGCAGGAGACAATAATAAACCCCTCTTTGAATCAAAGAGATTTAAATGAGATATCTCCACTTTGGCATTTTTTGAATGTTGGCAAGTGCCTTCAATATTATAATCCTCCTAAATTTTTTTGTGTCTATGGTATGTGTATGGAAAATGGTCACATATATAAAGGAGAGTGATTGAAAGGAAAGTAAGATTGCACTTGTGGGCAAAGTGAGATTATTTTATTTTCCATTATTCTAGTTGCTACATCTTGTTCCCTTAAGTCATAACCTCATAATTTTTAATCTACAACTAAATAAATTAGAGTTAGGCTTTTAGACATTAAGAGAACGTGCATGGTTGTTATTAACCTGTGTTAGGCAGAGCGTTTTCATTGATTCTGCACCACTGTTACTTCTTAGGTGGTGATTGAAGCTCAAGGTCTAGAGACTATAATAGCTGCAACTCCTGATGAAGGCGAGGAAAACCTGGACTCTTTTGCTGGCATGTCAGCCATTTTGTTTGATATTCAACTCAGGCCAGTTACATTTTTCCAAGGGTATGGTGACTTAATGTCTAAAATGCTCTCAGCAACTGGAGATCCCATTAGCGTCGTGAAAGGACTTATCCTCCTGACAGACTACTCACAGGTACTAATAGCATGTTTTTGCTTCTTCTTCTGTCTCTTAAAAAGAAATGCTCTGTCTTCCACATACAGCGTCTTATTTTCCCGTTTCAATGTCAATAAATCTGATTGATACTATGTAGGCTTCTCTTATATGGGAGAAATAGAAAAGTTATAAATATGAAAGGCAAGAATGAAACTACATAAAAAGCTAGGACAATGGCAAGAACAGATATCATTCTAGAAAACACAGCAACACTGACTAAAACCAAATCCAACTGTGAAAATGCTAGAGTAGAAACTCATATTCCTATCAGCTGTTGTCTCCTCTCCAACAGTTTCTCATTTACTCTAAGTTTTACTCCTCAAAAATTGTCCAAAGATCTTATGTGCAATGAGACAATAACTGTAAGGTCATGAATTAATGAATCACCAGTAGTCCGGTTTTCCCAGCTAACACACCTTCAAAGAACATTGCTATGAGGTACAAGTTTCATATGCTTACAGCCAGGCTAAAACAAGAATTAAGATTGGTGTTACAAAGTTTTTGTATAATTGTCACCTCAAGTGATCAGTTCTTTTTATGCTTAAATATAGGCTCATATACGAATATAACCAGCCACATCTAATATTATTGGAGGACTAAGCGTCTAGACATGTTAAAGTGCAGTGCCAGAATTTGGTTTGATATTTCTGCTCATTCCAAAGAAGTGTCACCTTAGAACTTGTAGATTTAATTGTAACACTGGGCTCAAGAAATGTTTCAAACTTTACTCCATGAACTGGGGTATTCAAAGAACTGCTCGACTTTGGGGCTATTACTGGCAATATGACTTATATGCTAAAGTGCAGAGAGATGACCTTGTTACCTGGCAGATGGCTGTTGGTTCCCCTTTAATTCTTGGCGAAAGAAAATGCCAAAAGCGGATGAAGAGAAAATCCACTCCGATCAAAAGTAACATGTAAACATGCCATGCTCATAACATCTTTCCTCATACTGAACCCAGCACAGCCACTTTACAAGAGTATCATAAGTCTAGAGAGCTTCCCAGGTAATGCAGAAATTGTCAAACTAAAGCTCATTCCAATAGCAATCTCACACACAGATTATGGGGCAAATCTTTATCATGGCCTGTTTAACAAACAGGCTGCAGAGACGAGAAAGATGATCATATGAGCATGGTGTTTACAGAACTAAATATTTCCATCTGCTGTGCATGCATCAAGCTCCATACATACTCTGGCAGAATCAGCTGGCTGAACACCCCGAGAGCTCTGCCAGCTAGCAGATTCTCCACTCTTCATCTTCAGAGAACCTCATAAAAGTCTGGAGCACATCAGTGCTGGGACTACGTGCCATTTTTAGCAATATCAGAGCGTATCGTTTTCGGTCAGCCACTGACTCTCTGGAAGCCTGGGCAGCACCATGATTAGATAGGATCCCACCCTGCTTTCTCCCTTCAGTTGCCACTAGCATGGTTGCTGCCTTGGTCTCTTAGGATTCAGTCAGTGAACACAACCAAAAGTGAGCATTTACAACCAGAAAGGCACTTTTCTTTCATCTAGCCTCACAAAAGCAAAAATTGTTCAAAATACCATTGAACACAGCTTTGGGCTGAGTGACTCTAAACATAGTGTGTTTTTCTAAGAATGGTTTAACACTGACATTCCAGAACAGCATCAACATCAACTGTGTTTGGACTGTTACATGTAGCCCAGTTAAGATTCATTAGAAATGCTTCTACCTGACAAATCATTTAACCATGACTTGAGCTTAAAAACAGAGACATTGAATTGTCTGAAAATAACTTATTTAATACTTCGTCACTCTTGCAACAGTGCAGCATGATTTTTGAGAAAAGTTATTTTTAAATACTAGAAAAGCGCTGTCTCCCTGTTGATGTTTGTGAGGATCATTTTGCACTGCAAGACCAAGAGTGATTGATAATTACAGTACTGTAAAATCTATTAAATAAGTTCCTCTTTAACTTTACAGCCGCAGTAATCCCAGTAGGCACACTTCGTGGAGAGGTGATTTCCAAGATTTTATGCTCCTGCCCACTGTCTGTAACATCTTTTCTCACATAACTCGAGGCAGTGTTTTACAGCCATTGCTAACTCTCACAGCACAGTCTGACAGCTAAGAATAACAGTCCAAAAGCTATCATTGCCTCTATAAAATAAACAACTCTCATAAAACTGTATTCGAGACTCCAAAGTCACCTGCATTAAGTTTAGCAGTGTTAATATTTCTCCTAAGCAACACACTTGCCAAAAGCACAGAGAAATTAAATACTTTATTAATAGGTCAGAGAAACAATTCAAAAGCCAGACCCCTGTGGAAGATAGCCAGGTCCCAAAGAAGTACCTTTCCCAGCAGTCTCTGTGCAGTAGAGCTATCAGTACAAAATATAAAGGTACTTTTGACTGAAACAAAGTATATCAGCATTTTAAACAGCAACTAACTACCAATTCCAATATTTCGGGTGACATTTTCCACAGTAAGTGACACACAAAGCTTAAAATAGGAAGGGACAGAAAAATATTGCTCCTGAGAAGGCTAGGTCCCTGTGATTTACACCTCCCATCAGCCTGGCCTGGATTTGCACATGAGGCAAAGGACAGTGCTGACCTCTAAATTAGGACATAGACGAGCTAGTAAAACACAAGAGCAGCGCTCCCTGGATTCACTGCTGGTTTGAGTGACAAACTTGACTTCACTCTAGCTGAAGGTCTAGGGAATTTAATGCCTTTAAAGACTCAAGTTGTGTAGCGTTGCAAGCCAGATGTACTCTTATATTCTTAGGTGCAATTTAACAGTGCATTTTAAAATATCTGCTCCTCTGGCTGTGCATATGCATCTCTGTCAGAATGTATTCTGTTACCTACCTCACTCATTAACAGCTACTGACAATTCAATCCTTATTAAAAGAGAAGTAAAATAAAGCAGTGCTTATTGCCATATCTAAACAGACTAACAAGGATTTTTTAATTATCTCAGAAAGTATTCTTTCCCTCCTTCCAACATATAGAAAAACAGCCCTTGTTTTTGGAAGGACAATACTCCCAAGTCATAGCTTTTACCTGTGGAAAAGTAAGAAATGAGAGCACGCAATGCCTCCAGTGAGCATGGTCATACTGAATCTGTAAGCAACAGCCAGCCAACTACATTCTTGTATTCAATCTCAAGCCCACTTCAGCAGCAATTAAGTTGGCTCTACCAAAGAGACTGATTGTTTACCCTAAATAAAAAGAAAAATAACTATGACAACCACCACAGTTCTGAAAGTCCTTGATTATAGAAGGAAAGCTTCAAATTGAATAAGGCCTCACCAGCTGCTACTCCCCGCTATAGGGGTTTAGGATGATAGACTATATCCACCTGCTTCTTTCTTGAACCTTGGGAAAGCCTTATCTGGAACCACTGAGCTACTGGGTAGCTAGGAGGAGAGAGACTTTTAAGGTGCCTGAACATCAAAAAGAGGCAATTAGGTATTCACACACCTGCAAATGCCTGCAGGTGATGGGAATGCTACTGACACACAAATCCTGGGATGAGAGACAACCAGCTGGCAGAGAGGAAGCAGTGTCCTTGTATGTGAGGGACATGATCAGAATGAACTTTTTCTGAATTAGTGGCTCTTGTAAAACAATTAATTAATCCACTAGTTCTTAGGGAAGCAAAACAACTATATAAAGTGAGTTAGATTGCCAAGCAAAGTGAATTTTCGAATCTAGTCTGTGTGTCAAAATTTGAAAAGAACGAGCTGCTGTCTTCCTGAGCTATAGCTGCTTCATAACTGATTGCATAACTGATGGTAGGTTCCTAATCCAGTCACAGAGGTTTCAAGAAGCTATAATCATACTTGATGGTTGATGGAAAATGCATTAAATGCAAATTACCAATGGCAGATAAGGTGCCACTGAAGCTGTAATTCATACTACCTTTTGTTGTGCTGAAAAAGCCACACTACATTGCATCAATGCTGGAGCTGCAGAGAGGAGTTTGCTCCGTATGAGCTGGCCTCCCAGCAGAGCCTGCTGGCAGTAGTACAGAAGGCAGGATGGAAACCACTAAGGTCTGCAGCCAGTAACAGGAATATACCTGTGCTTCCTCACATCTCCAGGAGTTCCAGCTGCAATCCGGACCAAGAGCAAGTGCAGACTTCCAAGGGGGCCTGGCCATTGACATCTCAGGAGGGATGGAGTTCAGCCTGTGGTACAGGGAGTCCAAAACCAATGTCAAGAACCGGTGAGATACCCCCCAGTGGGTGCTGTAGCTCTATGAAGTTCATGCTCCTCAGCTCTAGTAGTTCCAGTGAGAAAAATGTAAATATAAAAGACCTTTCAGATGAGCTGAAGAAGAGCAGTTATGGGTATGGAGAACACTGGTAGTTCTCTTTTCCCAACTCACTTGGGAAATGCCAATTCCTACCAATTCTCTTCTGAATTTATATACATTTACCTGAAACAGGCTCCTTTGAGGGCAGATTTAATGTGGGGATTCTAGAGTGTTTGCAGTTTATTGCCTTATTGATGTGTATTGAATTAATTGCAATGCCTGAATTTATTTGCAGGATAGCTATGTTTGTAGCTGGTAATGTTGAGGTGGATTCCTTCTTTCTAAAAACTGGTATGGAAACTACTTTGGAAATTGAAACAGCATTAGACTTTATCTCCACGGTGCAGTTTTCACAGTACCCCTTCTTAGTCTGTATGCAGATGGACAGAGTTGGCTCTCCTTTCAGGTAAGAACTAACAGATACAAGTTATGAGGTGTCCTTCCAGCCCAGCTGCTCAATCTGGAATTTTTGGTGTTTGCAGCCATGGGAGATACACAACAGAGGGCAAATTTCAGCCTAACATAAGCAGGTGCAATGCAGACTCTCATGCACACCAACTTCTTGTTAACCTGTTCTTCCCTGTCCCTCACCTCTGAGATTCAGAAAGACTTTTGAGAAGATCACTGACCTTGCTCTGAATGTGCACTTTTATCCAGTTTTCTACTTTGGCTTAGCAAATCAACTAATTGATGTGAAGGACACAGGTCTCTAGAGTATGATCAGATCACTGATCATACTCTGGAAACACTGCTGGCAGTAGTTCTCTTTTCCACTAGTGAGAGAGCAAGTGCATAGCCATAAACCAGCTTGAACTTATGATCTGCTATTTATTAGCATCAGTAAAGGTGCCTCATGTGTTGAGACCTCGTAACTGTTTTGTGCTGTATTATTTTGTTATGGCATCAGCTTTCCTGAGATCTTAACAACCAGATGATAAGGTGAAAGATGCCTTCCAGTAGCCAAAAAGTACTGGCTGCACTGCCATGTGAGAAGCCTTGGTTACTACCTCTTCCTAATCCCTATTTGCTAAGACCTAGAGGCAACAACATTTACAGAGCCTGTGCCGGATTTCCATACAGTGTTTTCCTATCCAAAAGGTGGTAAGCCTGAGGGAGATTAAAGAACTTGAGGATGTCCAGGAAATCCTAAGAATCTGTTAAGTGTCTTAGTCCACAGATGCTAAAACATTGTTGGATTATACACATGCATTGTGGCAGTGTGACTTTGTACATAAAGTATTTGTCTCTAGCTGCACCTACACAGGTGGGCACAGTTTTGCATAAATTTGCTAATGCCAGACCACCACACTGTATCTTCACAGGCATTCCGTGACCAAGTATGAAAGCCTACCCTCTGGCAGACGGTACACTGCAAGGAGAGGGAAAGCAGAGACGTTGGAAGGTTGTGAATACCCTCTCCATCAAGAAAACTCCAACATGTGCAGGAAGGTTTTCAGCACTGCATCTGATTCCTCAGGCAGCTGGTTTTGAAACAGGCACCTTGAGCTTTTGGTGTTCTGAATCCATGGCTCACTCGATGACTTAGCCTTGTATGTACTATACTAACTTGGAGCTTGATCTTGCACTACCGCAGTAATGGGAAATTTGCCATTGATTTCAACAGGCCAGGATCAGACTCCCAGTGTGTGCACAGTGTTTACATAACCTATATTTAAGACTTTTGTAAAAAAAAAAAAAAAAAAAGAAAGAAAGAAAGATAGGGCTAATAAAGACTAATTTGGTAATTCTTTATTTGTATTTTTTGTGCCAAAAGCAAAGATAATTGCTCATTTTTCTTTTTTTAGGGAGTACAGCAGAAGTCCATGTTTTTGACATGCAGTAAGAAAAATCATGATGTATAAAGACTGATTATTTGTGAATATATTTGAAAATATTTGGGTGTTTTAGGCCTATGACCAATCCTTGTTGATATTGAAATAGAGTTGACATCCAGATGGAACCATGAATTCCTGGTTACTCAGTACTACCTGTTTACAACAAAATGGGTTTTATTTTACATGATTTTATATGGATTTTTCCTTTTTTTTAATTAACTGCTATAGTTAAACACAATTGATTAAAAATGTGTGGTAACATTTCCAAAGTACTTACAGTTGCCTTAATTCTGTTCCAATTGAAATCAATGGTATAATTTCTGTACTTATCACCAGGAGCAGAGTTAAACTGACACCAACTGCTCTCCAAGGTTGCCTTCTGAAAATGTACATTGTTGTATGTAATTGAGCCAGGCATAGCTCAGAGAACGAGCACCCACTGAGGCATTTCTGAACTATGTGAATGAAAGGGTCCTGAAAGAAATCCATTTTGAATGCATAGTGTAGCAAAGCCTGGGCAGAGACAACACTTTTTATTCTATGTAAGCTAGGTTCATATTTGAATGTAAAGTATTTGTCACTACTCATACAAGTTATCCAAATAAAATGACTTATATTAGTACCTTTTCGTTTGTTCCAGCAGCGGCTTCACAAAAACTGTGGGGAAAAAAAAAACATTTTACATTTGCAACAGTGTTGCAGATTAAGAAAGAATATCCCAGTATCCATCCGATTTAATTTTTACAGGACAAGATGTGTGAGTGCTCATGACAAAAAATAAAATAAAAGGCCAGAAGAAAACCAAAAGCCCATGGGTTGCCTTGACAAAAAATGTATTACAAAAATATGAAAAAGACCTCAAGTATTTTCATGTTGTAAAAGACCAGGAATGCCCAACCTTCAGAAATCAAACTATAAACGGGATGGATTGCTATAAACAGATGCTTGCTGTCTTTCCTGACCATGCTGACGCAACTCTAGTCAAAACATAAATAAAACATGCAAAAATACAGTATAAAAAAAATTGTTTTGCTTTCATTCGCGGTTTTGTCTGTCACCTTCTGGGGTGGGATACACTCCCATTGGGAAGGAGTGGTTTTGATCGTTCAACAGGAACTATTTCATTCCCATCACATAGAACACAACAACACAATCAAAAAGACGGTGGCAGCTCCAGAGGGTGGTGTAGACTCCAAGCAAGATGAACCATACGCTGGAGGTCCCTGTTTGACTCTGCCCAGACGAACAGGCAGGTGTGACCTACCTGCTCCTCCTCCATGTCAACATTTACCAAAGATAAAGTATTTTCTGATTACAAAAGTTAATCCAGCCGTGGCCAAGTATGCCTCAACGACATCAAGTTTGCCTTTCTCTCAAATGAGCGTGCACAGGTCTTAACATAAATATGTTAAATCTCTTGGACATACTGATCTGTGCATTTTATTTTTTCTATTTTCTCACCAACCCTCAGTACAGCTTCTTGAAAAATTGCAGGCTCATCTGCATTTCTGAAAACAGCTCTTAGGATGACGAGCCTGAAAAGGTAATTTGGGGCCTTTCACAACTTTAGCTGCATCCCTCGAAACTAAATTATATGGAGCCCATTCTACTCTTACATCCTCGTGGCTACTCCTGGGTATGGCAGCAATACATTTGTGTCTGAAGTTATCTGACCTTAACAGCTGGACATAATGGGGATGCCAGAAGGGTCTTAGTTCAACAGCTGGGTAATGGAAGGCAATGGTCTACTTACGTGGGCTCCATAGCTACAGAAACAACAAAACTGACGGTCCTCTAAAATAAGGTGAAATTAATACATTGCTTAATCCTGCATTTGAAGAGAAAACACACTTAGGGCTATAACCACAGCAAACGCTATGGATGCTTATCAAACCATGGAGGGTGAATGACAAATATATAACATACATTTTAACAACCTATTACATGTACTTTTAAATAATTGGTAATGGTAGCAACTGAAGATTATTTTATGCTGAAGTATACTGAAGAGCTAATGCTCAGTCCTTACCAAGCAAAAGCCACTGACAGACAAAACAATAATAATAATTCAGGAATTGGAATAATAATTCCAAAAATAACTCATTTGAAAAAAGAGACTGTGAAACTTTTCCCTGGGATTTTGAAAGACCAATAATTTTTAAAGATGTTTTTCATATACTCTTCAAAAAGTACTTAAATTTCAGGATTCAGTTTCTTCCTCCACTCCTAAACATCTTGTGCACAGAGCAACACTGAAAGATCATTGGTTTGGAAGGCAGACTTCCTCCAAGATGGAGGCTCCATTTCTTTCTTCCATTAAAAAACAATAAAAAGGCTCTGAGAAATGTCTGAAGAAAAAATTTGGTAAGCAGAACAAAAAGAAGCCTGTTCTCCTGTGCCAGATGAAGAAATAAACAGAACGTGAAATGCAGTTCAGGTTTTTTCTTAAATCCATGGGAAATATTATGAATTAACCCATCAATGCAGTTGGCTGTTCATGGACATGATTCTTGTAAATCATAAACAACTTGATCATAAGAAATTGCTAGTAAGATTTGTCCTTTCTTGACAACAGTGGACACCCAATGCCTAGGTGTAAACAGGGATGAGCTCAGAATAGCAATCAGGCAAGCTGACAGCATCTTCCATTTATCTTGTCAGCGAGAACATGATCATCAAATCAATTATTTTATTAAAATGAATCAATTATCACTGAATGATGCTAGCTGAACACACATTCAGCAGCTTGTAAAATACTTAGCCCAGATTTCCAGGAAACATGCTACTGATGAAGTCAGCTCTAGTTTATGAAGGCATCTTGTGCAGTTTGTCTGGCTACAGAGAGATTACAGAACAGAAAGAAATGAAAACCCTCAAGTATGGATATTTTTAGGATTAAAGCACACATGTAATGCATGATATGGTGTCCATGTACTTTAGAAGACAGAAGAATTTGTTAAAAATAGCAAAATAAACAGAAGTTCTGATTAAGCAAGGTTGCATTTTCAACTTGAAATGTGTACCTGGTCTGAGTAAGGTCAAGGCAAAGCAGGGCAGTTGCAGAATTGGACTTTCTACTGTCAGGTTCTAATTTGGTAACTAGATGATAGGTACTTCAAAAACAGAACAGGTGGATACAGCTTGGGCTTGTCAAGCCAATTGCTTGTTTGCTATAGTGACAATGCAAGATGATAGCAATTATGAAATGGGATTCTCCCTCCCCCTAAAACACACCACTTGTTTTATCCCAGATTGCTTGTTTACACTTAACATCAGGGAACTGCTCCTCCTGCGCGACTCCCATTCCTTCTGACAACAAATACTGCATTTCTACCTTCTGGTCTCATCACTCCTACCAGTGATGTTTTGAAGACCATTTGGAAACTCAAAGATTTTATTCACCAAACCTTGTAAATTCCAGAAATATTTCACCTGATTTGTCAGATTAATTTGAAGCATTTGGATTCTTGTACTATAAGAGGCATTGCTGGTTGATGAAGACTGGCCACAAGACTGGGCTCCTTGAGGACAAGTGAGAGTTCATTTCCCCATGCATACTTATTTCTGACCTGCTTAGTAGAGGTTTCAGCTTAGAAGACCCACCTAATATCCAAAACTAGCAGTGATGGGAAGAGCACTTCACAAAGCTGCATAGCAACCAGGCTCCAGTGACTCTTCTTAGAGAAAAGTAAACGAGCAGATCCCAGATTTTCCTGTTGACAATCTCAGTCCCCTTTGCAGTTTCATTTGAAGGTGATTGATATCTCTTCTGTCTGTTCTGCTCCCACACTTCATTTGATTTTCTTCAGGTCACCCTTTGACAGCCCAAGATCACCCAGACTGCTCCTGCTGAGACATGGCTCAGGACTCCACTTTCCCTAATCTGTTTCCCCCTTATCTCAGTTCTTCCTGTCTACATCTTCACTTGGTTGATTTATATGTCTATATGTCCATATAAAAATCCTTAGCTACATATCAGTAGTTACATCACTGATGGTATTAATTATATTAAACACAAGGCTCTGGTGCAAATTTCAAAGAGCCCAGAGAGAGGGAGAGAGAACTATTAGAAACACCAAAACACACTTTAACCATCAAATCTGTGCTTTCATATTTGGTGTCTTGAAATGATATGGCAGATTCGTAACAGATACCTGACTGTATTACTTGTAAATGATGAGGTAACAATCTGCTTTCCCTTAACTATCTCAGGCATGTGGTTAAAAAGATTATAAACACGCAATAAAATGCATATATTAAAATACAGTATAAAGTAAATTTGCCTCTTACATACTGAAGACTTAAGACACTGTGACAGCTCAGGGACAGTGAGCGTGGGGCTTCTAATTTGCTCTGCATTGAAATCTTCTTTACTGTTCACACATTCTGACAAACAGTGCCACTGCTAGCTGTTCTGCATGACAGCAAAGGGAACTCTGCAAAAATATGACCAAGTAGGCTCATTTGAAGTGTATCTTTTACTGAAAAATACATTTTATTTGTCATAACATTCAAACAAAACAAAACAAAACGAAAAAAACCCACCCATAATACAAATGCTTACTCATTCAACTACAACCTTCGGTATCCGGCAGTTCCAACCAGTCTGTTCTCAAGCGATACCGACGTCTCGAGGTGTCCCTGACGTGTAGTGCAATTCCCGGAGTCACTCGGCTTCCCTAACATCCCAGGCTCACGGCACTCAGCAGCAGGATTGCTCCAGGCTTCAGCTGCGTGCTCCCACAGTGTCGCCTACATTGGAAGCAGCTCAGAGTCCATTTTTCTCTAATTACAGCTTTATTTTTCCATGTTATCCACACAACGCTTTCACAGCATTTTCCTGTTTGCCTTATAACTCACTGCTCTTCCATCAGACATACCACCCACATTCTAATAGCAATCACTGCCCTTTCCTCACACGTGCACTTTTAAATACCTTTACACTATAACCCACCCCCTTAAAAAGAAGGGGATCAAGTAAGAAAAAAATGGAAAAAAAGAGGGATGGGGAAGAAAAAAAAACACAGAGAGAGGTGGAAAAACACAAGTATTTTTAAAGTACTGTATGTGTTCTTGGGTAGTGACAAGTCAATGGTAATTTATGAGAATTAGGAATGACACTTCGGCCATCAGCACTAAATAGTAGAGGCACCTTTGAATGCAGACAGGAGGAAAAAAAAAAAAACAAAAACAAACCACACACAACCCATAAATACATTTGAAATCATTCACCAGGGACTTCACTTTACTCAAGCGAAACTGACCCCGCTGCGAAGGACTGGAGCCACGCTCAAGCATCACTCCAGTCCCACTGAACCTAAAACTCATGGCTGCAACAGGCCTTGAACCCTGCCGCAGGGTTGAGAGGGAACCCAAGTGGTGGGCAGGCCTTTCCCCGTTGAATTTCAGCTGCAGTGTGCTGTGACCGCACTGTGAAACATCTAATACAAGCAGCTTGTAGGCCCCAACACCAAGGGCTTGCCTCTCACCCAAGATACGAAGTTATGCATCACTCCATCAGAAGGAGAAACTCACCCCTGGCTATCCTGGGGGAGCACCACATCCCCAGATTTTTTTCCAACAGTCTTTTCTGGCTGTATCTGCTGTGTGCCAGGCTTAAGCCCAGGCTGGATGCACACTGTGTGAAGAACCATGGGCTTGGCCCTGCATGTTACTGGTTGCTCTCAGCCCAGTTCAGCAAAACATCGTGCTGTCAGGCCAAAAACCACCATGGCCCCAGGAAGACCTCAGGAATCTCCTCAGGGATCCAGAGCCAAGGTGCGGGAGGGCTTGGCTGGGCTGGGCTGGGCAGCTCAGCTCCCTGCAAAACCCACCCCTCCATGCAGGCATGTGCAACGTTTGGTAACAGACAAAATCTAGCAAACACTGTATGACATTAGAAGTGATACATTCTACTGAAGAAATCTCCCCTGAGAAAATAAAGTAGCTGTTGGTATCACCTCATGTCATTGCTTTCATCTCTACAGGCAGTTAAAATAATAGTTTAAAAAAACAAAACAAACAAAAAAAAAACATACAAAATTTTCCTCAAACAACTACGTTTTGAAATCCTGGGCACTTGTTTCCTAGGCATTTTTTCCCTTCAAGTACACTGGGTAAAACTGTAAACCCTGAGTTTGTGTGTGCAAACCTATGTCTTGTAAACCACAACATGAAACTTCACTCTGAGCACCGATATAAGAAAAGGTAGCACGCAAATATTTTTAAACATGAATGCTAATATTGTAATGTATGTACCATACACAGCTTTGTCCCAGTGGACAACTTACTCTGGTACCTGCGCTGTCCTGCAGTCCAAAGCACTGTTTTAACACTGATGGTCTACTGGTAACATACACAAAATTACTGAGTAAAGAGAACGGGGAAGAAGCATTCATTTTCCATAAGAGGCATTTAGCCAGAATCCCAGCAAAAAGTTAAGGCTTGTAACTGCAGATCAAATGACAGAAATGCAGAAACTTAAGATTACATGCTACAAGTTCTAGTCGGGCACTTCAAGCTCTTAAAAAGGGTCAGAATATTATTTTTAATTAGATTTCCATAACAATGAGATAAATGAGAAGATCCATATTACATCAGTCACTATATGTATACATGCAGTGCATCTCATCCTGAGGGCAATGTCAAACAAAATCTCACACCTATGAGGACAGCTGTAGCTGATTTTTGTGTTTTGCAAATTACTTGTGGAAATGACAATTTGGGGGGAAAAATGAATGTAAAAAATTACTTTGTCAGGTAAAATAAATCAGCACAGCCAAAGACTTGGTTCTCATGTAGAAAGATCATGAAAATAGCTAAATTCTGCACAAAAAAAAATAGTAATAGAATATGATCAAAAGCCCAGTAAATGTTTCAAATTACAAACTGCTCAGTTGAACATTCACTTTATAATAACACAAGCACTAATGCTGACAGCATCTATCTCCTTCACAAGAGTGCAATAGCTGTGCTATTCCATTTGCACCATGTTTCACACAGTGCTGCCTACCCACCAGATCTTTTCTGTTCTAACACTGAATGGATGAAATTAACTTTTCAGGATTTACTCAGTTTAAAAGAGCAAAAAATGCTAATGAATAATGCATATACAAATATATTTATATTCTAAATAAATAGAAAGGTTTACAAATAACTTGAATGCTTCTCCATCACAAGTTTGGAAACTGGTGGAATAATTCCCTTCTTCCTGTTAGCGTGACAATTATTTAGAAGTAGGCACAGGAAAACCCTGCACATGGCAAATCATTAAGTACAGGCTTTGGGGGTTTGCATTTAGATTTTAAATTTTCAACGTTTCATCTTGAGAAATTTTTACATTAAATAACTTAGGTTTGATCTTATGCTTACAGGCTTCTCAAAGGGCTTCACTGGACTGAAACTTTGGGCAAGAAACACGGCAGTTTAGTTACATCTGCATGTTCATAATTCTTTTTTACTGAGAAAAAGTAGTTGCTGTCAGCAAAATCATCGGTCTGAGCAACATTGGACACACGCTCACAAGTCACTGCATTTTGAGCGACTATGGAGCTTCTTGTTTAAAAGAGAACTGTTTTCTTAGGAAATAAAGATAGCATGGATGTGGCCCTCAGGTGAACCTGTCAGACACTGTTAAATGACTGCGTGAATGGAATTGGAACAAAGAAGTTTCTCTCAGGGGAATCACTAGGAGTATCGGCAATGTGGCAGTTTGAAACAGAAAAGACTGCAGCCTTAAAGCAAAATAAATGCTGTCTTCTCCTTTAGAACTGAGATCTACAAATATTACATCCATTTTCTTTCCAGTATTTCAACACTGTGATAATTAAGGCAACTTGTGATGTTCAATACAGTACAAAGAAGCAAACAAAAAATGAAAGCAATCAAACATATCTTCCAATATTTACACAATCTCTTTTGAACCATGCCAAAAAATAAACACTACAAATGACTTGAACACTACAGTTCTCTCTGTTTGCAATTCAAAGTGCATGACTATAGAGTACAAAATAGAGATCTGACCTTATATTGGCAGCAAAACCTATGGGGATGATTGTGATGTGCAGCAGTGGCAGAGAGCTGAGTGTCTTATTTCTTATTCAAGAGTCATGTGGCTACATTGGCTAATCCCAAGCCACTGCATGCACCTGGAGAAAACTGTGCTTTGATCCAAACCCAAACACAGCTCTATTTGCACACTCTGTTTTACAGACAGCTGCAGCAGCCACACCACTTTCAGCCACATACAAAGTCTGCAGAGCAGCTTCCATACAAAAACAATTGTGCAGAAAATAAAGCAGTGATTTACTGTTGTTGAGGAAACCAGAAACTTGCACGCTTGTTTTGTATGAAGCAAAAAAATTAGAAAACTGTAGAAGCAGTTTTTAGGATGAATGTTTGGAGTTACCAGATGCATTTCAATTAAAGGAGAGTGATCCTTCCTCCTTGGCCCTGTAAGGAAAAAAACAATCATTAATAAAAAGTAGATTCTTAGGGAACTGCCACAAACATTTAAGCAATTGTTTCTACTCCAGAAAAGCATGCAGCATGTCCTTCACTGCTACAGTATTCTTACTATAAATTCCCCCAAACTACTGCTAAGGATGAAACAGCAGCATCCCAAGATTTTAAACAAAGTGCTCAATGCCAGGTTGGGTGGGGCCCTGGGCAGCCTGCTCAGGTGGGTGGCAAGCTTGTCCACAGCAGGGATTTGGAACAGGGTGGGCGTTAAGGTCCCTTCAAACCCAAACCATTCTGTGATTCTGTGAATCTATAGTCAAGCACCCCTGTATGTTCAGCAGAACCAATCCTAATGTGTTGGGTGTGAAGCACACATTGCCTTAATTCCCTTCTGGGGAGCCCTGTGTATGTACATCAGAAAAGTACAAAGCCATCTATCAGGGATTTTCAAGCAAAGGCTTACATTGGCCTGGAACGTCTATGTGTTCAGTGCTCAGTCTGGGATAGCCAGAGAAGTTTTCTGATTTCAGTAGCACTAGTAACCATACACAGCTGGGAAATGCAGGTGCCATAGTTTACTTACAGGCCTTGGAAGTGAGGCTCGGCACCCAGCACGATGCATATGAGCGAAAGAGCCCATAACCACGTGTGCAAGCATTTGCAAAGTTAAAACTTAAGCTGGCTCAGGAAAGCATCCCGAAGCGCTGCTGGTGGTGTGCAGCTGAGGGCTACATAAAATCTCTGAGGCAACTCTGGACTGAAAGAGGAGTTTGGAAATAGGCTTTGCTTCAGCAGCCATATGAAAGAAGGGCAGCAGGAAAATCAAGGTAAGAACTGAGCTGCCAAAAGGGGACAGAGGCCAAGCCAGGTGAGTCCCTGATGTGGTGATATGGTTTGTGAAAAAGAAAGAAAATAAAAAAGGACATGGAAAAGAAAGAAAATAAAGAAGGAAGGGAGATACATCCTTTATGGGAAGATACCGAGGAATGGAGAAAAAGTATGGCTCAAGCTTCAATTCAGGTAGAAAAAATGGGACACAGCCAGCTCAGTGTGTCATCCATACCAGCCGAAGCCACATCTAAGCAATGGAATCTGACTGCTTCTCAAAGCCACAGCCTGACAAACCTGACCTCATGAGAGAGCAATCCTAGTGAAAAATGACTGACAGCTCCTACCTGAACCTGTGTGAAACACAGAACTGCCACTTCTGCTTCTGCTCTGGCATCGCAGTTTCTTGTTAGGGGAAAACCTACCCCAAGCAAAGCCGCAGATGCGATCAGAAAGATGAAGACAAAAGAGTAAGAAGGGAAACCGTGAGAGTCACAGAATCATAGAACATCTAGAGTTGAAAGGGACCCACAAGGTTCATCAAGTCCAACTCCTGCCTCCACACAAACCACCCAAAAATCAGATACTGCATCTGAGTGTTGTCCAGGCGCTTTTTGAGCACCGGTAGATAATGAGAGAAAGAGCCAGGTGGGGACAGCGAAGTTATGAGGACAAATAGAACCGCTGAGTTTGTAGGAGGATCCAATACGACAACGGGGGAGAAGCACTGCAGAACCCAACGGATGCCCGATCCTGGTTTTGCCCTCCGACCCAAATGGAAGAGGTGAACCCTTTTCCCAGGCTGTCACCAGGTGCGCTAAGGGGTAGCGCACCCCCTCAACCGCTGCCCCTCGGTACTCACCGGCGCTCAGCGGTGCTCCACCACCAGACGCATGGTCGTGCCGTCGAAGGAGGGCGGTGCCACGAGCCGCGAGCCGCCGCCGGGCGCCGTGATGCTGACGAGCGGTTTGGCCTCAGCCGCCCCGCGCCGCGCCGCCGGCCCCTGCCCGCCGGGCACGTAGTAGGGGCCCTCGGGTTCCGCCGGGCTGCCCGGATCGGCCGCGCCGCTGCCTTCGCTGCCCGGGTGGGAGAGCGGGCGCGGCAGGGCGCCGGCGGGCAGCACGGCGGCGGCGGGCAGCAGCCCGGGGTACAGCATGTAGGCGGCCCCGAAGGCGCCGGCGTTGAGGGCGAGGGGCGACAGGGGCAGCGGCAGCGGGGCGACGGCGGGCGGCGGCACGGGCACCTCCACGTATTGCCCGCTCTCGGGGTCGAAGAGGCGGCGCTTGGCGGGCTGCTGCGGCGGCGCGTCCATCAGGTAGTACTGCCCGCTGCTTACGTCCAACAGCACCCGCCGCTGCGGCAGCGGCTCGGCCGCGGCCACGGATGGCGAGAAGCAGAAAAACGGCGCCGGCGGCGCGGCGGCGAAGGGCGGCAGGACCGGCGGGAACAGAGCGGCCGCGGCGTCGGGAGACGGCGGGGCGGCGGAGCCATCGGCGGCGGACGGCAGCCCGGGGCCGCCCGCGGGAGGGGCGGCGCCGAAGGGCACCGGGGCGGGGCG